CCAAGTCGCTCGTCGTGAACAGCAACCATGCCAACCAAGAGGCCAACGACCGCGGCTACCAAGATGCCACGGCCAAGAACAATGCGCTCCAGAAGAACAGCGCAGCCACGAGCGGCAACGGCGCAGTGCTCTCACCATGGGTGCGTCATCTTCGCGGCAACTGCGTCGGCAACGGCTGCGGTGGTGGCTGCTTTGGCAACGGCTGCGGTGGTCGCGCTGTGCCGTCGGCCTTGTCTGCCGCCAACAAACGAGCCAGCGCGCTCAACAAGGGCGACTCGTACATTGAAACCAACCAAGGCCGCGCCTCGGATGTACGCCAGCACGCCGACACGCAGTACATCGAAAAGACGGACATCAACAAGAAGGGGTACGCCAACGCCAACGCCAACTCGGAGGCGAATGCCCACACGCTCTCCAAGAGCAACTTTTTCGCCGCGCAAAACGCCGACCAAAACCAAGTCGTCATCCAGAACCCGGGCCTTTTCCGTTAACCGATTTGGTTGTGGCCGCAGTAGTATCCTGATGAGCATTTAGCGAAACTACGAACTACTGTGTCTCATATATTGGTGTCTACTTGCTACTTCTGAGCGCAGCTCGTGCATCGATGGTTTGATGTCGCGTCGACGACTATCCATCGAATGGGGACAGGTGGGGATGACTCCAGGCAGTTTCATATGACGTGGCAGCACGGGAGGCATTTGATTTGTGCCAGTTGACTTACACCTGATGGCGAAAGAACAGGTAACGTTCAGGATAACAGAATGACATTTCGTTGCGGCCATAAGAGCTTGGGCTGTAAACTTGATGCAGAATTTGCAAAGTACATGCACGCCATTCTTGGAGATCGAAATGAGCGGTCAGAACCGCCGCCGTGTCGCTTGAGCCATACATTGCCTTCTCGCGGGGTGTGGTCGGTCAAGCGGTACGCTTAGTGTAGTAAATTGTACTAGTACAGGATATGGAACATACAATGTTTAAAGTTTACTTTCAGGTGATACCAATATGTCGACAATTACGTAGACAGCAAACCGAGATCGGTAAAGAATGGTTTGCACTGCGCGCACACACCGAGCTGGTACGGCGCCAAGTACAGCAGCTCGATCCGGGAGTGCAGCTGCAAAAGACGCTCCTTCATCGTGGTCGCGACGGTCGCCTTGGCGTCGCAGCCTTTGAAGCACCGCGTGCACGGAATGTGCCCGAGCGCGTTCTCTGAAAAGACCTTAAAGTCGAGCATGAGCGCGCCGCGGTAGCTCGTGAGGAGCCGCAAGAGTAGCTCGTCCGTCTACGAACATCATTGCATGTTGCAACAGCGATGCAAAGCGATACCTGGTCCATCGACGTCGTGTGCTGCACGTCACCAGAAAACAAGTGGGCGAGCACACCCTGCACAAACGTGTCTTCCCAGTAGACCGCTTCAAAGTACGACGCGGGCAGCGCCGGCGCTTCAAAGGCGCCTTCCCACACCAAGTGGCGGCCACCGTCGAGCTCACTGAGCCAGCGGTCCCAGCGCCCGCCGGACCGCGGTACCTTGACCGCGGTGCGGTGGCAGCTCTTGGCACCGGCGTGAAACATGCGGTGCTGGCCGCAGAGGTGGCCCTCGGCCATCGGACACGACGCGACGCACGGTAAGAAGCGCTGCACGCTCTTGAGCAGAAGCGACAGACTCTTCTTGGCCTGCGCCGAGACCTAAAGCGCCATTCATCGCATTGCATTATAGCACAAAATATTGTTATCGCACCGTCTCTTTGGTCAAAATGGACGCGTGCGCCTTGCGTCGCATGTTGAAGGCGATCATGCGCTGGAAGAGCTCGAGCGTAAACTCAATGCAGAGCCGGTACCAGTCGGCGTCGCGCCGTGGAAAGCGCTCATAAACGCGCACAAAGGTGGCCGTCGTACACCTTCAAGTCAAGGCGTTTGGCGGATGTTTGAATCTAATCTACTAGTTCAAGGGGGAAAAACGGCAAAGGATATATGCGATCGACGTCGCGGTCGCCTGTCGAGAGCAAGTCGTTGAGCAGCGTCGCGAACGAGACGGGCTGCTCGTTCGCGACTTGGGTGACGATCGAGCGGAGGAGGAAGAACCAGCCGCGCTCACCGACGCTAATGTCCGTTCGCATCGCTTTCTGTTTCGCGCTCATGTCGCTCAAGATTTGCTACACTTGTCGCTCACAAGGGCAAACCTCTCCAAAAGAGACGGTGTACGTGGATAGCGACGAGCTGCTGGTCGAGGATCTCGTCGCCATTGTACCACTTGCCGCGGATGTTCTGGCGAATGTCACCCCGGGGCACGCGCACGCACTTGACGTCTGCAAAGTACTCGAGGAAGCCTTTCGCCTCTAAGAAACCATGTATAGTATCGTGTAAAGCCATGAGGTGGCGATGAAACGGACCCGAATTGAGCAGATCGGCGGACCGAAACGTCACCGTGACGGGGCGGGACGCGGTCTCGAGCAGCGCTTGCACTTTGTCCAAGCTAAGAAGCTCGGTGGAGACGCCGCCAACCGCCACAAGCAGGTCGTGGACGTGGATCTTGCCGCTCTTGGATGCGACTCCATCGGTGGTGAGCGCTTTGACCGCGGGAAAGCTGCTGGCGACGTCGGCATTGTTGTCAGCGTCGGACACCAGGTGGAGATCGAGCCCGAGCGGTCCTTTCTCGGCCAGTACCACGTCGTACTCGTCGTAAATGTGCGCCTGCATGAACTCGGCGGTCGTCGCCTCGACGCTAAAGTTGGCGGTCAAGCTGCACTTGTTGTGCACGATGAGCATCGACGGGCGGCACATGGTCTCGGAGATGCCGACGTTGGCTTTGATCGCAAAGTCCCGGCAGCGCGTAAAGTAGTCCTTGTTCACAAGGCTCGTGTCGCCCACGAGCACGATCACGTCGCTGAGAAGGTACGCGATCTTTGGAAAGTACTTTTGGACCGCCATGTGCCGTTGTTTCGTCTCGGCCTTGCTCGAGTGAAAGAGGTGTTTCGTGCGCAGCACCTACACCATCGAATTGATGAAACACTATCAGTCTATCAATGTATCAAGAGTTGAGAGAATACCATGTTCATAAAGGGGGTGAGTCCGTTCTCGCCTTCAAAATCGATCACGTTGGCGCGCTCGTGCGGCACAACGCACGTCGACGAGTACATGTTGGCGTTCGCGGTCGTACTGCACATCTTGTCTTCGTCGAAGCAAAACGGCCGGCTAGACAAATCGGATTAGCAACAGGGGACATATTCGAGTCAAACGACAGACATTTCGTGGTCGCCCATGAGCGCGCGAATCAAGAACGACTTGCCCGCGGTCGTGTTGCCCAGAAACGAAATCACGGGCACTTTGGCGTCCGAGACGGCCGCGTCCTCAAACATAAGGTCCAAGTTGACGTCGTTGGGCTGCAGCTGGTAATGGCCAGAAGCTGTTTGTTGCAGCGAAATGATTTCCTTGCTGCGCTCTTGAGCGGCTTGGTCCCGCGCCACGTTGAGCTTGAGCCACGCATGCAGTAGCGCGCCTACAATTCGAACGACGGTCGGTATCATACTATGGAAATGTATGGCATTCAAGAAGTTCGTACGGGGCGTGTCTTGGCCACGCACCAATAGCAGCTTGACACTCTGAGGCTCTCGATGTAGCAAGTGCAAGAGCTGGGCAAAGACGACGTTGTGGACGGGCCGGCCTTGGAGGCGCACGATGACGTCACCGACTGCGAGCGCCGAGATCTAGCCGCGTCATCTCACGTACTGTTTAAAGCCCAAGGAACAGACCTCTTTTTCGCGCGCAATGCGCTGAACGACAAAGACGCCGTCGACTTGGCCAATGTCGATGTCCAGTGAGCCGTCGGGCAGCTTGGGCAGAAGGACTTCGAGCTCCTCAAAGTCCTGAATATCGTACGCCGTCGGGTGCCAATGCGCGGGTTCGGGCGCAGCGCTCGTCGTCTCGGCGTCGTCGAGTGGTCGCACGTGGTGGTATCGCCGCTTCTTGAGCGAATGCAGGAGGAGCGAGCACCCTTGGCAGAGCTTCGTCTCACTACTACTGCTGCTGCTGCTGTCTTCTGGCTCGTGGCACTCGGCGCACGCGAGCGTCGCGGGCTGGTCGTCGCACTCGCCGCAGATGACGGCTCGGCCCTTCGCGCTCATTGCCCACGTTGAAGTCTACAGAAGAAGAGGCGAAAGGACACGAGCGAAACCGTCGTGCCAACCGGTTCCAATAGTGAACCGGTTCGCCATGACGTGGCGAGATGGGGACGCGTCGGGCAAGATCACCGCCACAACCCCACAAAACAACCTTGAGGACGAGAATGCGTCGCGCGCCAGCAACGATCTGACACATTCCAGAACCTCCATCGTCCGAATCAGCACGGTCTCGCCATTGCTGCTTGGTCGGCTGCATCACTGCACTGCTGCTACCCACGTCGGACGCGAACTCGATGGCGATTGGCAGATCCTTGTTGAATCGCCAGTGCCCGTTCTATCGACGTCGAGTTAGCTCGAAATCCCACGGTCAAGTCAATCCTGGACTGTAGCAGCAGCTATCTATTATAATCCCACGGTGAAGTCCCATCCTGGACGCTAAAGGGCTGCAGCGGCAGCTATCTATTTTGCTCCGCGATGCAGTCTTAAAGGTGCTGTCAGCAATGGTACGTCAGGTGAGCGCTGATCTTCGTTTCGAAATTTCCATCGGTCAAAACTAAAATACGCGCGTTTGATTGGTGCGTCGCTAGAATATCTACCAATCCCCGTTGACTCGCGTGGCCAACTTGAAGTTGGTTTGCAGTGCTGAATTGGCGTTGTCTTTTTGAGTCCCCGTCACCGACGACGGCCCGTGTACCGCTCTCCTCGGTGGCCTGCCATCGCGTCCACTCTCTACCTCGACCGTGACGTCATCGGCTTCCATCATCCTCGTACCCGCCGCCCTGCGCCATGTCGGTCGCGCCGATCTTCGCGGTCGACTGCGCCGCCCCCACCCCACTGCTCTCGCTCACGACCTCGATCCAAGGCGCGTTTGCCAAAGGCGTCGCCCCACTTGCGATTGACGACTGCAGCGGTGGCGCGTACTTTCTTCGGTCGACTTCGCACCGCCTCGAAGCGATCTTCAAGCCCAGCGACGAAGAGCCGTTCGCAGTCCACACCCCAAAACCCCCGACGTCGCCAGAAGAGACAGGTCCGATGCGCGCGGGCATCCCACTAGGCGAGATGGCGCTGCGCGAGTGCATGGCCTACCTCGTGGACGACGAACGGCTGGCGCACGTGCCGCCGACGGCCCTCGCGACCGGTCGCCACAAGGCGTTCCACTCGCTCACGCTCAAGCGCGGGTCAGTTCAGCTGTACGCACCCCACGACTGCTCGTCGGAAGACCTCGGGCCTGCGCAGTTTCCAATCACGGATGTTCACGCAATCGCCCTTCTCGACCTTCGCCTCGTCAACCAAGACCGGCATCCCGGCAACATCCTCGTGCAACGGACGGCCGGTAACCGCCTCATCCCGATCGACCACGGCTGCGTGCTGCCCGAGTACGACGCCATGGGCGAGACGCAGCTCACGTGGCTGCACTGGCCGCAAGCGCGGCAGCCGCTCGCAGCGACCACGAAGGCGTACGTCGCCCGCCTCAACGCCACGAGCCAGCTCCAAGCGTGGCGCCGTCAGTACCCGACCGTGGCCTTTCCAACTAAAGCGGCGGTGACGCTGCACCTCGGCACCAAGTTTGTCCAGCTCTGCGTCGCGCGCGGCTTGAGCGTGTACGAGATGGGGCGGCTGCAGGTCCGGGACGACCTCGACGCGCCGTCGACGTTCGAGTGCGTCGTGGAGGCGGCCGTGCAGGACCTCGGACAACGTGCTCCATGGACGCACTTGAATGAGCTCCTCGGTTGCTTCCAGCGCCGCCTCGAGACGGCGCTGCGCATGGAGTTTCCAGCGTATTTCTTGAAAGCGCCACGCTTCGTGCCCCTCCCGTCGCCAAAGGACCAGGAAAAGGTCCGCAAATCGCCCGTGAAGGTGCTCTTGTCGTCGGCGGCCTAGTCGCAGCATGCTCGATTGCTTGTTTAACTTCCCGTTGTAACCACGTCTTGTGCTTCGGCCGTCATGGTTGTGTTCCATGGCTTCAATGGCCACCCTTGGTGATGGGCTTTACGTCTTGTACGCGACGTGTGTAGCGGTGTAGGAGCTCCACCCACCATCCTCGCACCTTCAGCTTCTAGCCTCAGTGCATCGCCTTGCGTGGCTTATATACAAGCTAGCCCAACGAGCTTTGTCACCCTCGCTCTCTCATCCTGGTCATGGCGAGGTGTTGTCCGGATATCATCCGGCACGACCCTTCGCAAGATCCAACGGGATTGCGTCATCATCCTGGATTTCACGATGGCGGCCTTTCTGCGGACCGACCTCGAAGAGGGCAGCGGCGAGTGGCAAAACATCCAAGTACGTGGCAGCGCGTACGCGCAGTCTCTCACGCGTCTAGAGCATCTTGCGTGCGACGTTCGTGGAGCTCCTCGAGTCGAGCCAGCGCCAAGCGCGCGCATGAGTCACCTCGAGACGCAGCTCGAGGTAGTTGTTCGCTGGTGCATTCGCGCTATCTTAGCTCGGTCCTAGCAATACCGCCGGGATGTGGAGGCAAAAGCAGACAAGTGCGTGACGCAGCGGGCGCTTCACAGCCTCACGGACGACGTGCAGGCGCTACAGCGGTCCGTCTCGATCCTATCTCGATCCGAGCACCACGTGTTTGCTACTAGCTCCGTGGCCAGTCACCGACCCTCGGCGACCGACGGCGATCTTCCCGAGAAGCTGCGATGGCTGCAAACCAAGCTGGCAACGCACGAAGACGCTTTGGCGGCGCTGCAGGCCACCGTACGTGTTACTACAAGCTCGTCGATCCAAAGCGACTCGAAGACGCAGGAGACATCATCCTCCAGTGCCCTCAAGACCGACCGCCGAATACGGTTCCTCGAAGACGAGCTGCGGCTGGTAAGGCATGCATCGTCCACGCAGCGACAATACCTTGGGTGCACTAGATTGTGCCAATCATCGATGGCAAGGCCGACATTGAGGCTGTCAACGCCCACTTGGCAACCAAAGCCAACAAGGACGCGGTCACACAGGCGCTCAAGAAGCGGGTACCCCATCGTCTGCTACACGTTGCATCATTTCGCCGAGGCAGTGCAAAATATCGAGCGTCGAGCGCGAGCTCGGCCGTCTTCAAGCTCAAATCACCCCACTTTTACAGCAAGCCCATCGTACGCCCGTGTCGCACATCAGAGCTTCGCACAGGATCGCATGCGTAGCACGAACCGACGCGACGGATGCAATGCAGCTTCTCAGCCAGCGCCAGCAGCAGCTCGAGACCCAGTGGACCCGCACGCAGTACTTTCTTCAGAAATTCCGTGCGTCGACGATGACTTGGGAAGAAATGGACTTTAAATGGAATAGAAACCGAGATGAAGGACGCGATTGGCCACGCGGACGCACGGCGGGTGCGAACGAATTTTCTGCGATATCGTCGCTGAGGTTTTGACGCTGTCTGCATAGTCGATGCCACCGTCGAGCTCGAACGAGGTACTAACTGACTAGACGTCTACCGCTGCTCATGCTCTACCGCTTAGGATGGCGACCCTGCTGCTAAGACCGTGCGTAACGAACGACTCGCTTGTTTATATCCTAAGTGCGGGACGTAGGCACCTCGTTTGTCAAACGATGATACTTTGCTCGAGGTACGGGATGTCCTGCGTGCAGCCTGACGATCGCTGGTAGCTGCAGGCTCGGGTCGACGCACTCGCGTCTGCACAAACGACTGTATTGATCACACGCCGACTTGGATGGGATTATAAAATGACCTAGGTCGAGGCGACATGCGAGGGCCATGGCACCAAACTGCAGGCGTTGACCGCTGTCGTGCACCAGTTTATCGCGTACGTCAACGTTGACGTCATTGCGGTTAGGGTCCACATGTGCGATTAGCGACATCCAAGCCCAAGTCGACAAGGTGTGCCACGACCATTCCCTGTCGGATCGGTAGGTTCCGTTTCCATGTTGATAGAATTCAATTATTTATCAAGTGCACCGTAGGCTCGGCGGTGCCGAGGCCAAAGTCTCGGAGCTCGAAGCGTCGCTCGTCGATGTCATCCAGGCCATGCACCAACTCTGCCACCAAATCCAGCAGCCGCCAGCGTCCCGATCGTCCTTGGAAGAAGAAACCGCGCAGCTCATGGAGCTCGAGGCGCTCTTGGCGTGTAGCCTGGAGCGGTAAATCATTCCCATGCGATCGTTCGCCACGTTATCTGTGCTAGGAGCGACCAGCCGCTCGTCTTTGGTACCGGCGCCGAGCTGGCGCAGATCCGAGATCAGTTTTGCAGGACGTTGGCGAATGGCACGCGACCGGCCGAGGCCGCCGTCCCGCCCTAAACCAAAATGCAAAGGATAAGTCAGTGGCGAGATTCTGCGAATGTTCTTGGTTGTGTCGCCGAACGTGCTGCACGCAAAACGAACGAGCTGTAAACTTACCGGTTTTCCATCAGAATCGAATCGGCCATGTCTGACTGGGAGCCTACCGCGTCGCCGTGCGAAACCGGCCGTCCGTCGCTGCTCGCAACGCTCGACACGCTGCGCTTGGAGGCGCCGACGATGGCGCCGCCGCCGTACTTGACGGCCATCGTGCAGCGCCAGCTCGTGTCCGTGGGCCGTCTCTACCATGTTCTCTTGTTCGTGCTTGTGGGTCTTTTGGTCGCACCCGTCATCTTGCTACCTCGTGCGAGCTTTCGACTCTGTCAATGGCGTTCCAATGGTTGCTGTCGTAGTGTGGATCACGCTGCGCATCGATGGCCTCGTCGCCTGGTCGTGGCTGATGACGTTAATGCCGCTCTGGGTCCTCGACTTGTACGTGCTCTACGCGTGCAAGCTGCGCCTCTCCGTGGCCGTCGACGACATGTCCGACGACCATGCATGGTATGTCATGATCGTGCAGCGTCATGTGCTTACCACACGGTTAGCTTGATGTGGCGACTGCCATCCGTCCTACTCGTGATCGCCGGTCAACTCTTGCTGGCACTACGTCTCGATAACGTGCTTGGCTGCACGTGGTCGATAGCACTCGCACCGCTTGTGGCTGCGGGGCGCTGCACTGTAGCCCCCGCGGCGTGCTCCTCAGCGTCCAAGTCGTGCTCATCGGCCTCAAGCTCGATGCAGTCCTTGTGTGTCCCTGGACCATTGTGTGGCTGCCGTACATGATTGTCATTTCCATTGAACTTGTCGTTGGTCTCGTCGTGCTGGTACACGTCTACTTCGAGGATGTTGCTGATAGTGATGTGCATACATTAGCCGCTGCTGACGTGCTTCTTGGTCCAGCACCGCGACGACCGACGGAGCCTTTCGCCGGTGAGCATGTGGGGCATGTGCTTGGTCCTCACGACGCTCCTAACGGGTGCCGTTGCGCCCTTCTTCCTCCTGCTCTGCCGCCTCGAGTATGCAGCGTTCCCAACGGTCTACCTCTGCGTGCCATACTACGTGACGCTCGGTATCCTCGTCACTTGGGTACAACTCTCTCCAGCGACTTTCTGCACATGTCGTTGGCGTCACGTAGGTTGCCGTCGACACGCTTGCGTCGACACGTGCCGATGCGATCGTGTAGTCGACCATTTGTGTATTTTCTCCATGTGGTCTATAATACCATGAAAAATGCCGTTTATTTCGAAGCTACGTCTACTAGACTTTGCTGTACGTCGTGTCTTGCGGGACGACGAGCTGCGGCGGTGCGGCGTACTGCGGCACGGATTGGTAATATTGTCCTTGGTTCGGAGCACCAGGCACCACGACGACCAATGGCAGCTCGTCGTACGCCGATCGCTTTGTCGAGCGGCAGCACTTGCGCACGATGCAAAAGTAACGAAAATGGCGGCGAGAATCAGCCCGACAAAATGGACGCCGTCCTTGTTTACGAGTGACGCGGGCCACGTCACGCCGCCCTCTTGGTAGATTGCGCCGTGCGAGCCAATGCGGAGGGTCGCTGGGACATGCAGCGGCAGTGCGTGCGGCGTCTTGGTGTCGACGCTATGCAATGTCTTGGTGCGGAACTTGCCGCTCATGGTCGGCACGACCGGACCGACGTAGTAGACGTCGCCCGAGCCGGACGCGCTCGCAGTGAACGAGGCCGACGCGCTGGCGTAAATGTCGCCACTGCCCGAGGCGCGGGCACTCGTCGTTGCACACGCCAGCGAGCTCGTCTTGGCATCGCCGGACGCCGACGCAGCGATCTCGTGGCTGCTGCAATCGCCCGAGAGCGTGTACCTGACGTCGCCCGACCCGTCGACGTCGGTCGTCACGCTTGGGTTCCCGTTCAGCGCGCCGGACGCGTAGACAGAACCGGACCCCTCGACGTTGACATCCAGTGTTTTGGTTTCCAGCACACGCGAAAAGAGCGCGCAGTCGCCAGAGCCTTGCACAGCGACGTTGACGGCGTTGGCGTGGAGCTCGGGCACGGCAAACTGCAAGTCCCCGGACCCTTGCAGCGTGAGTTGCAGGCGGTCGGCGTAGATGTTGGTGTCGTCGATATAGACGTCGCCACTGCCGCTCAAAAGGACGTGGATGTTCTTGGTTGTCGCGTTGCTGAGGACGCGCGGGCCCACGACGACGTCGCCGACAGCTTCGAGGTATGAAAGCGCGTGTGGCGGCAGTGCAATATCGACGATGTACGCGGCCTCAAGGTCGTGCTGACGGTGGAGATTGCGATCCCAGCCGACGGAGATTGCACGGGTGTTGCCGGCGTCGACTTCAGAAATTGTGATCGCGTCCAGCAGCACGTCAGAGTCGGTCCGGAACGTGACGGTGGCCACGGACGCCGCCGGGTCTGCTGCGACAAAGTTGGCGCGTGTCTGCAGCACGAGGCCGTGGATGTCGGTGGTCGTCGCTGTGAACGTCTTGGTGCGCCACGACGAGGTGCTGGTCATGCTTGTGGGCTAGGGCGCGAATTGAACAATGCGCAATAGCCAAGTGGCCATTATAGCGACATACATTCAATGTCGCACCGACACACATGCCGCATCACGTGAGAAATGATGGTCTCGGTATATTAATATGCCTATACGGTGAATATTACACATGATCCAAATACGTGGGAAACAGAATGCATGCGCCCAATGCCATTCTTGATGACTAACTAGTCCGAGGCGGCGACTGACTACGACGTGCATATATAGTATGGAGACGGAGAGCGCTCATCGTCGAGAGACTCGTTTAAAACAGTCGCCAGAGACCAAGGCGTTTGAATATAAATCCTTCAAGCACGGCGAGGAAAAACGGCGCGTATCTCCAGAAGAGCCGTTGGTAATAGATTATCAATCACTTGCACAATGGTTGACACAAGGGAATCAAACAAAATTGACTCACTGGATTACTACATTGCACATTGGTTCCCTTCGGTTTACATCTGGGTTTGCACGAATCGAGTTTCTTCAACCCTCGAAGGTTGGGACGTGGTGGGCTTTTCAATTTTCTGCAGACTTTGAACGCCTCGTCTCTCGCGTGGTCAACGGATATTGACATGCAGCAGGTCTGTGCAGTCGACCAGCAGCGCTCTCTATGGCGACGCATGTCCTCTCGCAACCTTCTACGACGGTAGACATAAGAGTGTGCACGCGATCATCGATGCATTGTAGTTGTTGTCGGATCCAAAATCCTCACAGTGAATACCAACAAATATGCATTATCACAGGTTATTGCTGGATACAAACATCAAGTCTGGCCGCGAGCCGAGCATTTTGCAAGCACAAGTCAGCTCCTTCCTTCGGCCGCAGCATGGCGCAGTGGCGGCGATTCAACTTCTTTGACCGCGACCTCCTCAAGGACGGCAATGGCAACTGGCTGCGGGTACATGCATCCTATAGCTGCCAAGATGACGAGGCCAACCATGCGTAGGGCGTCGACGTCACGTGCATGAGCGGCAACCGCGGCCTCTTGATCGTCGGCGACGCCCAAGGCCAGATCCACATGGCCAACCGCCAGCTCGAGACGCGTGCGTTCCGCGCCCACGACCACTTTGTCTCGCACGTCGTCATGGTACGCTCTCGCTTCGCTCGACCTTCGCCTCATGGCGTCGTGGGCAGATGAAAAAGACCAACGTCTTGGTCTCGATCGGCGACGGCAAGGATCCGCGCGACCCCGACTTGATCCAGTCGTCCAAGGCGGTCGCCGAAGCCAACCGCACGCAGGCGCAGACAGACGAGGTACACGATCCTTGGTATCGACGCCATCTCACGCGCCATGATAACAGCAACAAATGTACGCGTCGACGGGCAGCGTCCAGAACAGCACGGCGCTTGTCAAGATGTGGCGCACGGACCAGCAGGACCGCGAAGGCAAGCCGAAGCTCATTCTCCAGCTCAAGATCTTCGCCAAGGTCATCACGATCTATCAAAAATTGTTTCTCAAGGACGCTGTAGTTTCCCGAGGAAGCCGTCACGGCCTTTGCCGTCTCGGAAGACGCGTCGCAGATCGCCGTCGGTCTTAGCAACGGCGCGATCATCTTGTTCCGGAGCGAAATGAAGGTACGCGCTCACCACATGTGAATTCGCCTTTGATCGGATGCATGTAGCGTCGTGCACCCGGCATGTCGGGCGGCGGCCCGCCATTGCTGCTGCAGTCGGCCATCAACTCGCCCGTGACGAACCTCAGCTTTGCCATGAAGCCCAAGCCCGCGGCCGGTCCGGGTAAGACGTCGACAGAGAACGCGCTCTACTTGTACGCGGCCACGAAGCGCGGCCTCACGTGCTACCACTGCGACGACGTCAAGTCGAAGAACAGCCTCATGCCCCGGTCCGTCGTCCTCGACGAGCGCGGTGCGAATTTTCCATCGGTTCTTATCGCCGCTTATCCATTATGCTTGAGCAGGCGTCGCGCTGCACTGCGGCTGCGTCAACGACGACGGCGACATGTGCATGGGCCAGACGGACGCCGTGTACTTTTACACGCCCGAGGACCGCACCGGGTGCTTTGGCTTTGAAGGCGACAAGAAGTACCTCGGGTTCTTCAAGCACTACTTGCTCGTCGCCCACGCCGATTCGCGCGGTATTTTACTCCTTTTTACGATTTTTACGATTTTTTATCTTTTTATTGTGCAGGCCGCAACCAGCTCAACATTTACGATCTGCAAAACAAGTGCATTGCCTTCAACTGGATCCTCACCAACACGGCCAAGGCGCTGCCCGGTACACATTTTCTTACTCGGTCGGCGCGACATATGGATGCAGGCGCGTCGTCCCGGAACGTGGTTGCTACGCGCTTTGGGTACGAAGAAGTCGAGGAGATTCGGCATGTCGTGAGCGAATTCGGCGCCGTCTTCGTCGTCACGTCCTTTGGCTCGGTTTGTCGCCTGCTCTTGAATTCCAAATTGAGTGCTGCTCGTAGGTCTACCGTTTGAGCGAGAAGGACACCGCGTCCAAGCTCAGCATTCTTTTGACAAGAATTTGTACCCGATCGCGATTTCGCTCGCGTTTAGCTCCAACTATGACCTCTCGAGCATCATGGATATCTTCCGCATGTACGGCGACTTTCTCTACAACAAGGGCGACTACGACGGCAGTTTGCGCCAGTATGCGCGCACGATCGGTGGGCCACTTCATCTTATTTCGTGCATCTGAGGGAGACATGTCCTAGGACACGTCGAGCCTTCGTATGTCATTCGCCGCTTCTTGGATGCGCAGCGGATCCACAACCTCACCACGTACCTCGAGACGCTGCACACAAAGGCGTTTGCGACCGCCGAGCACACGACGCTGCTGCTCAACGTGCGTCCACCACCATCGTATTATCAACTTGACATGGATGTAGTGCTACACCAAGCTCAAGGACGTCAAGAAGCTCGACGCGTTCCTCCTCATTGACGACGACGGCAGCAGCGCCAAGGAAGGCACGCCGCAAGCCCTCACGTTTGACGTCGAGACGGCGCTGACGGTCTTGCGGGAAAACTACCCGCAGCACGCGCTCGCGCTCGCGAAAAAGCACGGCGAGCACTCGTGGTACCTCAAGATCCAACTCGACCGCATCTCGGACACCCTCAGCGACGCCGAGCATGCCCGCGTCGCCGATGCGCTCGACTACATTCGCGGTACGTCCACCGTCTCGATGCACCCATGCGACATGCATAATACCTCTAGGGCTATCGTTTGCCGAGGCCGACATGAATTTGCGCAAGTATGGGCGGACGCTCGTGACACACTTGCCGGGTCCGACGACCGAGCTCCTCCAGCAGCTGTGCACAGGCCGCTTCTCGGCCACGACCAACGCCAAGTCGGATCCTGGTAGAGAGATACGGCGCGAGAACGGTGGCTAAGGTGGCGTGTGTAGGCGACTTTCTGCACCTTTTTGTGTCGCACCGCACGCAACTGCGCGACTTCCTCGAGTACATTGTGCAAGTCGAGAGCGTCAGCAACACGTCGATCGGCAACACGCTGCTGGAGATGGTCCTCAACGACACGCACAAGCGCGAGGTGCCCAAGGACGACGAGGGCGATGAGCCGGAAGTGACGGAGGCGCCGTCGCCCGTGACGACCGAAGCCGCGGTGCTCTCGCTCCTCGACAACCCGCGTGTCAAGTACGACGAAGACCACGCGCTCATTTTGATGCAAATGCACGGGCTCAAGCAGGGCAAGCGGTATTTGTACCAGAAGCTGCACATGTACCACATGCTTCTCCAGCACCACATGGAGGAAGGTGAGGACGCGGCCGTGCTTGAGCTCGTCAAGCAGCAAACCGACAGCAACCTCTGGCTGCTGGCGCTGCGGTACTTTGCCGAGCGCGGACCGTATCCCAAAGGCGCCTCCGCGCGCTCGACGGACGAGTGGAGCGAACTCAAGCAGCTGCTCGCGCTTGTTGACGTGACGCCGACGCTGCAGATTCCGCCACTCCAAGTGGTGCGTCGGCCGTTTGTGTATCGAGATATCAAGTTGACACTTTGTGGCGAGGTAGGTGTCGATCTTGAGCCAGTCTCGCGAGATGCCGCTCTCAGTCGTGCGGCCGTACGTCGTGAGCCAGCTCAAGAAGGACCAGGCGCACATTGACGCTGACAGCGACGAGATCAAAAAGTACAAGCAAGACACGGCCAAGATGCGCACGCAAATGACTGCGCTCTCGTCCAAGGCGATGGTCTTCCAAGCGACCAAGTGCGACCTCTGCAGCCACGACTTGGATCTCCCGGTGGTGCATTTCATGTGCGGCCACTCGTTTCATCAAGTACGTACCCGCGTCTGTGTCGAGAATAACGTTCCATTGGCGGTAGAATTGCATTTCCGAGACGGAGCGCGAGTGCATCACGTGTGCGCCCGAGCACCGGCATTTGCTGAGCTTGAAGCAGTCGCTGGAAGTCAAGGCCGGCAACCACGAGCAGTTTTTCAACCAAGTACGCCGTCACTGCCTTGGTGGATGCGCCGATCTCATGTGGAGTGTAGCTCGAGACCGCGGCTGACGGCTTCAACACGATCGCCGAGTACTTTGGGAAGGGCATCTTCAAGTCGGAGGCGGCACTGGACCGCCGCCCGAGCGGCGTGGCCCGCTTTAGCAACGAGCTCTAAGCAAATCAAGAGCGATGTTTGTGTTTGGTCAAGTTAGATCGATGACGGTGGGGGCCGCTGCCGGTGGCCGAGGTGGCCGGGGTGGCGACACTGTGAGGTCTACGACCGAGCCCATCGAGCGCTTCCGCTTCTTGGTACCCGCACCGCACATGGCGCAAACGGTCTGCCGCTCGTCGTTGAGAAACGTGCACTGGTCGCAGCTCCACCCGTCGTACGGCTCGGGCGCGGCCTCGCCAATCTGACGACTCGGCTCGTCGTGCGTGCCGCATGTCAGTTGGTCGTGTCGTCGTCGCTCGGCGGCCTCGAGCGCTCTCTGCCGGAGCATCGCAGGGGTCAAGCTGGCCGCCGTGGCAGATGCATCGCCGCCGAGACGGCACGAGCCATTTGCGCCGACGAGGGCTTGGTGCTATGCTCTCGTACAAAGTCGTTGGCAGAGACGACGTGGGAGCGTACCCGCATGCGCTGTATCGCAGCGTCCGCTGCCGCCTTGGCAACGTTTCTCGCGCTGGCGCCGCCAAGCGCCTGGAAGGTGCAATCAGATGTACTTACGGACGCTGTAAAGGGCGACGCACATGTCCTTGGCCAGCGTCTTGGAACTGCGCGCCAGTGATGCCTGTAGAGCATCGTGGATGATTGAGTTTGACTGGCAGAGATGTCGACAAGCCCACCGATGAGGCCTTGGGCCATGAGGGTTTCCATCTCGGACGTCAGCTCGTCCAACAACTAGATCACAGGTAGGTCATCGCACGCAATGCCTGGAAGAGCTATCACCTTGTAGAAGGCTGCGTTGTGCGGTCCGATCTTCATATGCACCAGCTCGTGGAGCATCGTCCCGAGAAGGTCCTCGAACGGCAGGAAGCTCGTGGGCCGCGCCGCCGGACGCACTAGCCAGCAGCATGAGGCCATCGCGCGCCACGATGATGCATCGTACGGCGGACGTAGATTTTCCATCCATGGTTGACGTTCATCCCGAGCAAGTTGGCATTCTTCGGGAAGAACTCGAGGAGCTGCTGCACGCGGTACTGTCGCTTGGACATGATCGGAAGCACGTAGGATGCTATCCTCTCGAGGATGCGCTGCGCTTCGTCAACCTGCGGCTGTCGCTTCTACATGCTCCATCTCCATGAGCCTCCATGAAGCGCTTCGTCCATGTCTACCAGCGCGCGGATCGTCGGGATCTGCCACTCCATGCGCCGGCTTCGCGGGTCTTCAAAATTGGACGCCCGCGTCCGGAAAACAAACAGCATTATCCGTAGCCTGTATCCGGGAGTATCCAATCTTTATCCGGTCGATCTTTAACCGGACACGTGCGTGCCGCGAGTAGCCATCAAAATGAATCTCGCGCGCTTGAAATCGGACTTGTCCGCATACAGCGTCCTTCAACTAGGACATGACGCGCATGCAAACGCGTAGGAGCACCCCCCACGTGGCGGCCTGTGGGACCCCATCAACGTGCAGTCGCTATTTGGACTTGCGGTTTGTATGCCGAGGCCACGAGGTTCTAAAAATAGTTTCTCGAACCTACGATGCGATACAAACAGCAAGACATTTTAATTCGACCCGGCGCTCCCACCCCTTCAACCTGTGGCTCCCCCACACGCCCATACAAACTTCAAGTGTTGACCATCTACCCTATTCCCGCTCGTACAGCACCGTACACACTGTACGTATTGCGTGGCGCTTTTATGATACAAAGTACAAGTGCAAACGTACATTGTGTCGTACAAGAGCGATACGTACGCCTGTTTTGCGACCGCAGATTCGAAAAACGGACCGCGACGAGCTCCACAAGCAAATCAGCCGCGTGAGCGCAAGGTCCGTCGTCGAGCATGGTACGAGGAAGCATTGCCGCCGAGTCCATGGTCCTCATGGAGGAATGCTAGAGCACGAAGAAGAGCCCTGCCAAGGCCCCGAAGCACGTCGAGGAAGATGTCGATGCCGAGGAAGAGGAAGATGATGTCGAGGACGCTGGCGACGACAGCGTCGAAGACGAAGATGGCGACGACGAGCCGGCCGACGACTCGGCCGAGGACCAAGAGGGCGGTGACGACGAGGAAGACGACGACACGCATGAAGAAGAAGACGCTGAAGACGCCGAGGAAGAGGTCGGTTTATCCTATCTGTATACAGAATTCGAGGTAGTCGCGAGACCTCGGGCCAGCTCTAGCGCTTATGCAATAAGGATCACGTGGCTCATCCATCGTGCGCTATAGGACGACGAGAACGACGAGGACTTTGAAGGCGACGCTGGTGGCGACGACGATGACGACGAAGCCGAAGACGACGACGACGAGGATGAAGAAGAGGCTCGCCCGGCAAAGAAGCAGAAGAAATAAATTGCTAGGTTGCATGTTCTACTAAGTCCCACGACCGCAGCGCGTGGTGCCGTTATACGAGCAGCGCGCATCGTCGGACGTTCTCTTCCGTCTTTTCGCCGTCGACGCATACCTGCGCGATCTATGGAAACAGGTGGTCCGATCCCGCTCAGCCGTCAACACATACCCATCTCGCATGCTGCGTTATCATGCCGCCGTACCGTAGACGTCAACCGTGCTGCATATTCGAGGCGACGACGAGGAACGCATGAAGGCAAGGTGCATGTTGATAGATGGCATGAAGACTATGGCAGCCTCGTACTGGACGAGCTGCGACTACCCCACCATCGTCCGCTTGCGCCCACGCGAGCGCACGAGGTATAATTTATGAAACACCGTGTCGGCGCGACGCGACTTGGCCTTGTACGCGCGCAGGATCTCGGCCACCTAGGCGACATGAGATGCGGCCAATCGATAAGTCGTTCTTGTACCAAGTCGTCCGACTGCACGTGCGTGCTCTGGAACGCGCGCTCCATCACGTAGAGGTCCACGGCCTTGTCTTCGGGCAGCGGCTGCGAGTTGGCAAGGCCAAAGTCAATCACCGTCTACATGCAGCATCGTGGGTCCAAGCAGCAGCAGCAGGCAGGCGCATACGATGGTCGTGACGTCGTCCTTCTTCATCAAGTTGGAGGTCGTGAGATCGCCATGGACAATGTCGGCGTCATGCATGCGGGCGACGGCGACGCCGATCTGGTACGCAAGCTCTTTCGCTGCCGGCGCGTACGTCTGCGTCGCAGCGTCGTACATGTTGAAGAGCCATTGCTTGACACTGAGCCCGATGATGCGCTCCATGAAGAGGCGGCCTTTGGTCTCGTCGATGAGGAGGATGCAAGGCGTGTCGACGCCAGCCTTGCGACACTTCATGTTGCAGCGGGCTTCCTGCACGAGGCGGCGGTGGCTAAGCTTCTTGTCGAGCTGCGGCAGCCGGTAGGCCTTGACGACGCGCTCCTTGATGACGCATGGTCGGCCAGCAAAGGTCGTGCCATATACGATCTACTTGGACGATGAGATGCATGGCCAGAGCGATCGGCGCTTACCGCTTCCGCGCCCTGGCTGAGGACTTCCATCTCGCTTGTCGACGCCATGTCCAACCACAAAACTTGCTCCTCGGATCGCGTCATCCGGATACGTCGACATCCGGTTGACAGGATAAAAACACCCAATTAGCGTTTCGTGACGTGGCGTGCTGCGCGCACTCGGATGCACCAACTACTACATGAAAGAGCCCATAAGCCGCATGGGCGGAAGATGCAGAGAATGGTAACTACCAGGCTGATGTAGCTGTATACAGGGTTTCAGCGACAGAGACGGAACGTCGAGAGATCCCTCGTAGGGCAACGCCATCTTGCCCTGGCCGACGTATCATCCATCCACTTGTCCTATGCATTGTGTGTTTGTATTAAGTGCAGTGTAGCAACACAGTAAGGGTTCTGCTCAAGGTGAAGGCGGCATCATTCCACCACCTCGTTTGAGCGAACGTCGGGGCACATTGCACCATCGAGCTCTTCTCAACCCATCGCGCTCGGGACCCTCAAAGACTGGTACAAAGCGTCTGTCTTGCACTGAGATGTATAGCACGTTACACCTCGTAATGTGTCGAGTAGCGCCGTCTTCACTTTGTTTCTTCAGTGATTTCCTTCGGTGCCGGCTTGTAGCTGATGTACGACATGTACGCGTTCCAGAAAAGACCGACAACGTTCGAGAAGAGCACTACAGAGGACGCTCCGCAATCCTTTCCTGTCGACATATCGCGCAATGTACCTTGGAGCGGCGGCGGAACCAGGCCAAAGTTGCAAAACTGTGCCGGGATCCACACGACCCAGTTCGTCTTCACAGCGTCCCACCAATCGGTCGAGATCTTGGAACGAATGCGATCCGTGACCGGCACCTCTAGCATTGATGCATGAGCTTTCATGCAATCGCAGTGCAAATGGTACCCGAGTCGTTCGTCGCGGTGAGAACAGCAAAGAACGACGCCATGAACGTTGGCGCAAACACGAATTGGTCGAGCACGAGGCGCTTCGCGACCGCGGTCTTGGCCGTACCAGCAATCGCGCGGTTGAGGAAGCCGTACCACACGTGCAGCGTCGGCGCAATGTAGACACCGCCCAGCGTCGTAAAGATGGCAAAGCGCTTGGCGTCGAACGGGTGATCTTCAAAGACCGTCTGGCACGTGATGTCGCCGAGGCCTGCAATGCCAGCGCTGGTCACGACCTTGGTCGGCAGCGGCGAGCGCTCAAGCAGCGCAAGGTACGCCTGCCACGGGCCTTGCGGCTTGGGCACCGACGAGAAGGCGCGGGCCGACGCCTGCTGCACACGCTGCGCTGCGCGTCGCACGCAAAACATCACAAATTGGGGTGAACCCCAGCAACTGATGTCAACGCGCCGGATAAACCTCTAAATCTCGATCTTTGCTGCCCAACTTCAACAAACGTGCAGTGGTTGGCAACGCGGCAGCCAGCGACCCCACCTTCCCGAACGCTGCCAGTAGGACGATCCGAGAGTCCAATGCGCTGGCTCATCCCTACGACAGTTGTCGGTATGCGCAGCTGGACCGCGGCCGTGCTCCGCGCTGTGCGAGGAAGGCGTGCCGCAAAAAACAGGTCGGCATATGCCGAATTTAAATTCTTTAACCGGCATCCGGTTACGGAGGATCCCGAACAGGCACGACGCAGCCGTCGTCGATGAGCGGCCGAGTCGACGGAACAACGACCAACCAGCGCAACGGCTGCTCACGTGGGAAGATGGCCGATGACGCGCCGGAGGAAGCGACGATCGAGGCGCTCGAGGCCGACATACAAGTGCTGGCGGACCATATCAAGGACTTGCAAGATGCACTCGGTGGCCGCCACTACCATCACGTTTGCCAGCTGACTTGGCCCAACTACGTAGACGCAAAGACGGCTGAGAGCGTGCGCTGGAAGACTGCCTATGACCATGTGCATGATGACCATGTGGCCGCAACCATGGCGCTGGCAACGATGCGGCAGACGCTGCAGGCAAGCCAACAAGCCAATATCGACGTCACATTGCAGTTGGCGCAGCTCCAGCAGGCGAGTGCCCGAACAGAAGACACTTCAAATGACTTGGCGCGGGCGCTACGGCAGCAAGAAACACACGTACGTATTCTACGATATGTGGTTGCCTAATGCGATGAAGCGCAGGCCCACCGCCTCGAGCAAGAGCTTTGCGAGCTCCAACGACGGCAGCAGCAGCATGAACGACTTCAAGCCGAGTGGGCGCAAGAGAGAGCGCAGTTGCAACGGGCGCTGCAGCTCGAGCAAGATCAGCGCATGGACCTGGAAGCCGATGCAGTGCACCAAAAGCATCTGCACCAAGCGGCCATCGAGGCGCACATGGCGCAGCAATCAAAGCACAGAGACATACTGACGAGCTTGCGCCAGGACGTTGCGCACCTTGAGAAAGAGCTTATTGAGGCACGAGCACCGCCAGTACCGTGGGCCCATCGCACTATGCCCCCACCAGCGCCACGCATTGCACCACTGCGGGTGCACGCCGATCTCGTTGAGATACCGGTCACCGAGTCGATCTTGCCCAACCGAGTCGACGATACGCACGTCAAGTCCTCAACGTCGACGCTTGCCAAGCGGGCTGTGCCCAAGTACGCCCAACACATCTTCCCGAGTCCCACGTAGACCCTTCTCTTGCCATCGTCCGAGACCTTTAGGTATAAGTACCGTAATTTATTGTTTAACTTACTTTTACGGGGCGCTTGTCAACTCTCCGGCGCGGTCAGTTCTCGCATCAACGATGACCATGTCGCTGGGTCGTCTATCCGGATATTGGAGAGTACTTATCCGGTCATTTTGGCAGGAGCAACCTCGTCCAGGAAGCCATCGCTGCAGCAGCATGCCTGTCTACTTGATCTACTTTGTGCATCGGTACTTGGACTTTCGGCTGCCCGAGCTCGACGCAGTCCTGGGGCTCGCTGGTGTCGACGACGTCCGCGCCTGCTACGACGCGCCGACGACCGACTCGCCGTTCCTCCTCCTCCACCTCCCGTCCGACGACGTGGCGAAGCTCGTCGCCGCCCGCTGCGTGCTCATCAAGGGCATCTACGCGTACATCACGCACGCCGAGGGCGCGAGCGATTTGTACGACAGCCTGCGCGCCAAGATTGCCGCGCTATCGGCGGCCGACCGCGCGAGCGCGCAGCTCCACGACGAGACGACGTGGAGCCTCCAAGTCGACTGCTTTGGGCAGCGGTTGTCGCTCGACGAGCAAAACAAGCGGCGACACGAGCTCACGGACGCGATTCCGCTGCTCGGCGACATCCAGATCAAGCAGCCAGCGCGCACGTACTGGCTGCTCGAAGAGAAGGGCGTCGGGCCCGGCGCGACCCACGTCCGCCGCGTCTTCTTCGTCAAGTCGCTCGCCGTCATCCGCGTCGTGGGCCGGGACTTTGTCGACAAGCACAAGATCAAGAAGCGCAAGTTTATCGGACCGACCACCATGGACCACGAGCTGTCCCTGGTCATGGCCAACCTCGCTAAGGTCGGTCCCGGCGCGATTGTCTGCGACCCGTTCGTGGGCACCGCAAGCGTCCTCGTCGCGTGCACTCAGTTTGGCGCGACGTGCATCGGTGGCGGTACGTGCCATCTCTCTCTCTCTCCATCGACTCGATTGCTTGCGTAGACATTGAGATGCAAGGACTCTTCCGGAAGGAAAATGCGACGATTGCGAGCAACTTTGAGCAGTACAACCTGCCGTGCCCCGACTTTGTGCAGTGGGATCTGAGCCAGCGCGTGCTGTGTCCAAAGCCGTTCTGGGACGCGATCGTGTGCGACCCGCCATACGGCCTCCGCGCCGGCGCCCGCAAGTGCTCGGCCAAATCGGCCAAGAAGCCGTTCGAGCTCTACGCGCCGAGCTCCGTGCTCACGGACCTCTTGCAGTGGGCGGCCGCCCGGCTGGTCAAGCACGGCCGCCTCGTCTACGTGCTTGCGTGCAAGACCGACCCGAACGGTGCGTACGACGACCAGCTCCCGACGCACCCGTGCTTGACGCCGCTCCACGTGTGCGTGCAGCCGATCACGCAAAAGTTTGTTCGGCTCTTTGTGACCATGGTCAAAGCCAAGGACATGCGCGCCGAGGATGTCTCGGTCGCCTCGACGCTCGACGTGGGCTGGTAGACGACAACAACGACAGAGGAGTACGGTAGATGATGATGACGATGAAGAAGATAGAGCTTAGGCATGCATGCGAGCGGTCGTCCGCGCAATGATCGAGAGGATCTCTTCAATGTCGTCTTCGGTGAAGCGCTTCTGGAGCGACGGGATGAGCGCCATGGCCTCTTCGGGCTCTTCCGGGTTGAGGTTGGAGAGACAAGCAATCTCAAACTCTTCGAGGCGGATCTCGACCGTCTGCGACGGGTCGTCCGGGTGCTCGCGCGAGAACTCGTACGTGATGAGCGCCTCGCGGAGCTCGGTCACGGACGCTTGGTTCGAGACCGGGTCCTTCGTGCCCGAGAAGCGCTGCACGTACGAGTACGTCTTCTGGAAGACGTTGGTGAGCGTCTTCTCTTGGCTCTCGTAGTCGGACTTTTGCTTCTCGAGGATGACGGCGACCTCGGCGTTGGACAAGCACGTCTCGCCCTGGAAGTCTTCGCCAAGGATGAGCTCGGCCGCGTCCTCCGTGTCGATCGCGTGGTTGCGCCCCAATGCGTTCATTTCCGCCACGCAAGTGCAATTCTGACCGAATACCGGATACGCATCATAATATCCGGAATTCCTGCCACTCTGCCATGATTGAAACTTTTTACCATGTCCTGCACCATGGTGAGGAGGCGCTTGGACGAGCAATGCATGCACCTGGTTGCAGCTGGCGGTTGGGATCGCAGTTCGGTCGTTGGGGACGCAAATTCACAGGCGAAGGATCGTCACGAGACCGACTTTGTGGACTGTGAGGTGTTGAATCCGTTAAGCCCGTGGTGCAGATACCGGTAGTATGTGCAGTATGTAGGTGGCTAGCAGGTGACTTGATTGTCGAGTGGCCATGTGCTTGATGCGAGTCATAGCGCAGAGGTAAGATTGACTGCTGGATTCTCCGTGGTAAGCGCGTTAGCTGGTAGATGCTGGTAGACGTTAGTACGGCATGAGGGCATGTGCGCCAAGGCTGACAATAGAGCTGCAATCATCGCTGCTGTGTGATCTCCGCTCATATATTTATGATCTCCGCTGGTACAAAATGACAGCGTGTCTGGTTGGTGGTGTGGTAAGGCAGCTGGGTAAGGTGGTAAGGCGCCTTGAACGGTCGTCGGACCTGACTCGAGTTGGATTTCATTCGGCTTGAATCGCGTCTACGGTGCCAACACTGACAGGCACCACTGTGGACGTTGCTGTGCAAGATCCATTGAAGATCATGGCTGCAGTGCTCCGAGTGGCTTTTTGCTGGAGCATTTATTATTGGCGAACGCCGTATATAGATGTATAAGTGGCACGCTGCCAAAAATAACAAAAGAGTCGATTGCTCGCTCTGCACGCTTCACCTGCCAACGTTACGTAGCTCGTTCTGGTCCCTATGACGGTATCTACCTTGCTGCAAAGTTTCGGTACTTTTATTTTTCAACGCGATTGGGTTGACCAAGACGCCGGGCTCCGGGCGCAACGCCAGTTGAGCATGATAAATGCGGTGGTTTTAGCCTTTATTTGCTCTCTTTTGATTGTTCGGTGATTGTATACTTGATGTTTCTATGTGTCAAGTTGCGTGCATGTAGCTGTACCACATAGTGGCAACGTTGCATCTGCCCAAAACGCCATGGCAGGCAAGCCCAAGGAGTACCCAGCGCTGCTCGCGCACGACGTGGTGTGCAACGACGCCCACGCCGACCTCCTTGGTCGCATGCAGCCGTCTGCGCGCTTCAATGCAGACCTCGTCACTGAGAGTCCCACGGTCCCGTTCACGTACACGCGTCGGTACCTGGTCATGACGACGAGCGGGCTCCGGACGCACACGATCTCCGAGTCCTGCGAGCACCCGCGTAGCCGTGGCCGATGCGACGCAGCGCTCCGTGTGCCTCTGCGCTTTGTCGACATGATCCAGTGCAAGCCGACCATCGGCAATGGCGTCGAGTGGTTCATGGTGCGAGTGCAATGGACCGACAAATCCAGCGACACGTGGATGCATGCAGCGGACGTCCGTCAAGAGCACCGCAACTTGCTGCAGCAGCTCTTCATGGCGACGCTCAACTCGTGGCAGCGCGTCGACAAGGTCCTTCCGGCGTCGTGGGAGGCCTACCCGGCTGAAGACCGCCTCTGGCTCGACGACCCGCTCGTGGCCAGCTGGCTGCAAACGGCGCAACCGATCAAGGTGCAGCCGCCAGATGACGTGCAAGCGACGCTCAAGCGTCCGGCGGCACCACTGGGTACGCACAGCAAGCGCATGAAGCCGCCTCTTCCCGACGACACCGAGTCCGACGACTCGATGGACGAGCAAAGCGAGCACGAGCCGACTCCTGCTGCCGTCGTTGACATGGTTGACGAAGCCGTGTGCAATCTGAGCATGCTCGAACTCAAGGCCAAGCACTTTTCTGCACTGCCGTCGCCACCGCCGGTGTCCGTCGCCTGCCCGTGCGGCTTGGTCGCCGACGACGACGACGCGTACTTGGGTCTCTGGTTTGTCTGCGCCAATAAGCACTGCGGCCGCGCGATGCACGCCGTGTGCACGAGCCCGGCCGCGCGTTTTTGTGCGCGCTGCGAGCCGCGACCTCGTCGCACGTTGAGCGCCATCGACCTCGTCCTCGCCGCGCAGGTCAACGCAGTGCACTTGCTCCGTGCCGAAAAGGATGTCCCTCTCGAGGGGTCGTTGCTGCATGAGTGCATTTTAGCGGCCGCCGACGCGGGCGCCATCGACGCGCTGCAGTACCTCCTCGCGCGCAGCCCCAAGGCCCAGTGGCACTCGATTGTCGACGACTTTGGCCGCAACCCGCTGCATTTGGCGATTGCGCACCGGCACGCGAGTGCTGTCGAGCACATGGTGTCGCAGCGGCCGCTGCTCTTGCTCGCGACGGACGCCTTCCAGCAGTCGGGCATGGAGCTCCTCTTGTACGAGCTGCCCGGCGTGTTTTTGCGCCTCGTACAGCAGCTCCCTTTCTTGCTGCAGATCTCGGACGACAAGAACAATACCATGGCGCACATGGTACGCCACCTTCTATCTCAGAATGACAGATCTGATATGCTGTTCTAGTTGTGCCGCGCGCTGCCGCAGACCGACTTTGCCGCGCTCGTCAATGTGATGCCGTACAACCTGTTTGTCTCGTCGAACGACGACGGTGAGACACCCTTGATGCGCGCATGTCAGCACCCTGACCTCGGGGCCCAGCACTTGCGGGTGCTGGCCCTCCCGACGGATTGGTGGTTCGTGACCGACCGAAATGGGCACGGGCCGCTGCACCACCTGCTCATGGCCGGGAACGGCCACCTCCTCTTGCACGTCGAACGCTCCGTCGTGCTGGAGACGCCAGATCTCTATACGTGTGCGATGCAGCGCGGTCAAACCATGGCCGTGGCCATGCTGCTGCGTCACTTTGATGCGCGCTTGCTCGAGCGCGAGGGCGCGGATCAGCTCTGGCCCATCGTGCTTGCGCCCACGTCTGCGTTTGTGTTGCAGCTGCTCAAGCACCACACGCGCGCCCAGCTGCAGTATGTGCACGATGCGGCCGCGGTGGCGCCGGATGCGGTGCGCACCCTCGTGCACCGGATGGCGACCGACGCGAGCATCCTCACGTTCCTCGACCAGCTCGTCGCGGCCGAGACGAACCTGCTGGCAGCACCGTTCTTTGTGCGGTACCAGCACTTGCTTGGCTTGGACGCCAAGCTCTCGCAGCTGCGCAATGTCTTGACGCTACCACGAAGCGCGGTTGGCGTCATCATCACGGCGCCGGACGAGGCATCGTGCTGGGCCGCGCTGCTCTTGGCGGCCGGGTCGATCTCCAACTGGCGCGAGGTGCGACATGACTTTTTTTTGAGGATTTGATTTCACACAAAATTTGTTTCGTAGCCCATCACGCTGTGCACGCCGAGCCGTCGCTTTGTGTCGTCCGACGACGCTTTCTGGTCGATGCTCTGGCCGCAACTGCTGGCGGCGCGCGTGCTGGACGAGCTGCACCCTGCGACCATGCTCGTGCTCGGCAAGCTCGTCGGGCACCTCGTGTGCATGCAGAAGACACTGCCGCCAACGCCGACGATGTCCATGGACCTCTTCCGGTGCCTCGTCGACAAGCCGAACGCAATGTCGGCAGCGTACCTCGCGAAGCGCGCGGATCGCCACGTGCTCGAGACAGCCGCGAGCGCGTTTCGCCAGCAGTTGTTCCGCCTCGTGCCGCTCGACCAGTGGACCGCGCCCGAGCTCTACGTGCTCATGTTTCGCGTGCCTCGGGACGTGGCGGCGTGGCGGGCGCAGGTGCAGCACCAGCCCGGCGTCGAGCCCCACACGAACGAGACGATCCAGATGTGGTGGCGCGTCGTCAACGCGCTTCCGACGCCCGTGTACAGCATGCTCCACGTCATTGTGGGCGGGGGTCCGTGGATGCTGGGCATCAACACGATTTCGACCACGCTCGGGCCACGCGAGGTCACGCTGAGCGCCGACATTGCGACGGAGAAGGACCTCACGGACGCATTGACCCTAGCACTTCGGGCCGCATGAGCGACGTGAATGAATCATTTTGAATTGCTGCGATTCTCTTGACTGTACTTGGAGATGGATAGACAGATGGATAGATGCATAGGTATTCAAGACCATTCAGGACCAGTAGGCGAAGAAGATCTCTCGTGCGAGGTAGAGCCACTAATGCCATGAGTCATGGCATTAGTTCGCGCAGGTCATCAACAAGGGTCATGGCCCATGACCCTTGTTGATGACCTGCGGCAGCGCGCGAAGCATGCCGGCGTGTGATTGGCTGTCGAAACGAAGCAGCACGATGGGATTGGCCATGGCGGCTTCACGGTTATAGCGAATCAGCAGGCGCGCTGAGAAAAACGCATTTAACGTGTAGGTTAAACATAGCCGGATGGGGTCAAGACGCTATGCAGGCCCTCGTTGTCGCACATCCCAGTCGCGATCCGAGGCCTGCATCCGAGTAGGACGGCGTGGATATGTAGGCGCAAGAGCATACTTGACTGCGTAGAGAGAGCCGAGCCGAGATCCATCGGTGCATACAACGTAATAAAACGGATGTCGAAGGTGTTTACCTCGATTCCCAATAAAACAGAATCCAACCAAAAGCAAACTCGCGACGGTGCAGCGAGAGGGATATGCACCGACGAGTCGACGCCTTCCCGCCCGTCGAGGACGACGACGCCGACGTCTTCGCGTCGCCGGCGTCCGACCTCTTGCTGCGGACGCTGGAGCCTGGGGCGTTCGAAGCGCAGCTGCGCATGGAGGCCCCGACCGCGCCCTTCAAGTACACGCGCCGCTTCCTCGTGCTTGATGCGCGCGGCAACTACCTCGTCAAGACGATGCACGGCGTGTGCGACGATCCTGTGCATGTTCCTAGCCACGCGATGACGTCCAAGACGCGGGCCATGGTCAAGCTGCTGGACCTGATCGAGCTCGTCCCGCTCATTGCACCCCAGGTGCGGCCTCGGCGCTTCGCCCGCGCGCGCTGGTCGTCCGGTCCCAACACGTGGCTGGACATCGAGACGTTGCCGTTCTCTGGTAAAGCGCTGGCGCAGGAGCTGTACGTTGCCACGGCGCACTCGTGGCGTCTCGTCGACGCCATCAAACTCGCCTCGTGGGATCTCTACAAGACCGAGACCGCGCTCTGGGAAGCCAACCCCGCCGTCATCCAGTACCGAGCTACGTTGGCGCATACAGCCGAGCGAGAGTCGGTGCAGCAAGGTCAGCGAGAGTCACCGCGGCAGGAGAAGGCTGCCGTTCTCGCGGCGCGAACCCGCCCCGCCGACTCTTTAAGCGCGAGCTCGGACAAAAGCAGCGCCCGTCGCAAAAGGCCGCGGATGGAGCAAGCGGCGCGTCAGCGTGCCACGTCGCCGGATGGTATCTGCGTCAAGCGCCGACAGCCGAGCACGCATGCCATGCCCGAAGGCATCAACCTCGCGTCGCTCGTGCCGGGTGCGTCCAGCGACATTGTCATCATCTCGCTCGACTCAGACTCGGACTCGGACTCGGACGTGGCGTCGCCTCCGCCCGCGCCGATGCAAACACCACCCGTCATCGAGCTTCTGGACTCGCCAGCAGCCGTCCACAGCGCTCGTGAGTCTCCGATTCCGTCTGCAGCGACCGCCCAGAGTGTGCAAGTCGCGGATCGCAACGCCAAGCGGGCTTGGAAGCTCGGTGCGGCTGCTCTAAACGAAAACTTGGCCTTGGAGCGCAGTGCGACCGTGGACAAGGAGGCTCCGCCGTCGCCACACGCCCCAGCGTCCGTGTCGTGGTCGCCGGCATCGCCCGAGAATCTCAGCAACGCGTCGACTTCCGATGAAAAAGATACAACCGGCGCATTGACGACGGTGCCCGAACGAGACGGGCGCAAGCAGTCGCCACCGCCTGACGACCTACTGCCGCCGCATGTGTCGCCCGACGACGACGACCTCATACCGGTCCAGACGACCCGAAAGCACCACAACGTCATTTTGGACGACGACGACGACGACGAGCTCACATGTCACCATACGACGGCACCCGCCATGCCCCACACGTTGCAGTCATCGAGTGCCGAACCAGAACGATTTAGAGACGTTGCGCCGGTGCCATCCTCGCGCGCGAAAGACTCGGCACCGGAAACCTTAGCACCGGACGTGGTGCCCGACGCGCCGAGCCCGACATCGGTCCCGAATGCCGCAATCCAACCACCGAGCATATTAGCACCAGCCTCCAGCACACAAGAGGCGATGTCGGCGACGACGCGGTGCAAGATGGCACTCTTCCAGCCCATTCCGCAGCCAGTAGCACGCTGGGCGTGCCCGTGCGGCAATCCGAGTCCCGTCAAGCCACACGCGTCGTCGTTCCTCGTTTGCCGCACGCGGTCGTGTGGCGCATGGATGCACCGTATGTGCGTGCCGCCGTCCACGGTCTACTGCCCGCAATGCGCGCCGCCGCCTCGATGCATGACTATGCAAGCGTTCCAAAGCGCACTCTGGCAGGCGAGTGCGACCAACAATGTCGTATGGCTCGAGCAGCTCCTCGCTACAACGTCATGTGCGATCGACTGGACGTACGCGTATCGCGGCGACACGTGCGTCCTCGTTGCTGCAAAAACTGACTCGATGCAAGTGCTGCTTCGCCTCCTCGCGCTCTTACCCGTCGCCACGTGGCCGACGCACGTGAGTCGCTTCCACAACAACGTACTGCACTTGACCCGCAGGACCAAGCACGTATCGGCCGTGGTGTCGATCATTGCGCGCTGCCCGCAGCTGCTGTCTCGACTCAACGCGGTAGGGCTTTCGCCCATGGCACTCTACATGCAGCAGGTGCCGCACTTGGTCGCCTCGCTCTTGCAGCACTTTGTGCCACTACGCACCATCGTGGACGACGTGGGCAACACGTGGGCGCACTACGTACGTCTCGTCCTACCTTGTATGGAACGACGATTTAAAAACTTATTGTCTCTGTCTAGCTGTGCGTGTCACTGCCCGACAACTTTGCGACGCTTTTGGCGCTGCTTCCGCCCGTGCAACTGAACGTTTTCAACGCGGCGATGACGCCGCTCATGCTGCTCTGCCAGAACAAGAACGTGACCGCCGCCCACATGGATCTGGTCGTTCGGCTGCAGCCCCATTGGTTTGCAATGGACAGCCGCGGCTACTCGGCCGTGCACTGGTTGGTTCTGGCCAAGAATGCGCCGCTTCTGCGCCACCTGCCCATTAGTGTCGTGCACACATCGCCCAACTTGTACGCCGCCGCCATCTTTTGCAACGACGAGGCGGCTGTCGGCGTCCTCCAAGAGCTCCAGATGCCTCTGTGCGTGCAGCAGGGCGTCTCGGGGCCATGGCCGATCGCGATGGCGACGACGGCGAGCATGGCGCGAGCACTGCTCTCGATGGACCCGCTCCCGCAGCTCGAGTATGTGTACAGTGTGAGCACACAAAAGGCCGACCCGCCCGTCGTACTGCGGTTGCTCCTCGACGACATGGCCCTTGGCGAGTATCTCAACTCGCTGGTCGCGCGCGATTTGCAAGCGGCGAAATGCGGCTTTTTTCAGCGGTACCGGTCGGTGCTGTGCGTCGACCATAAGCTCGTGCAGCTCCAAGACGCGCTTCGGAACCACACGGCGGCCCAACCGGCCAACACAGTTATGCACGTGGGTGGCCGCGACCAGTGGTGGACGTCATTTGTTGATCAAGTCAAGTCGATCAGCGACTGGCGCCAGCCAATCCAGTTTATCTTCCACGGCGACACGACGGTGCGCAGCACGCAGGAAGCGTCGACGTGCTCGGATCTCTGGGTCCAGCTCCAAACCGTGTTTGCGACGGGCAACCTCATATCCGGGAATCTGCTGGCGCTGGGGCTTCTTCTCGGACACATGGTCTGGATGCGCCAGACCATCTCGTCGCCGCGACTACCGCTGCCGCTCTTGCGCCACTTTGTGTGTGGCCATGCTGCGACGGGCTCGAGTCTGCCGCCTATTGCTGGCTTTGTGCACTGGAATGCCGTGGCCACGTCGGACGCGGCGGCCACGATCTTCCGCAAGGGCTTTCGGCATGTCGTTGGCGACCTTCTCGAGGGCTGGCACGCGCTCGAAGTCAGCGTCCTGCTGCATTCGATGACGGCGTTTCCCGTGCCGCTCGAGGCGTGGCAAGCCAGCGTCGAGTCGGCGGCGCATGTGGTTGTGGGCTGGTGGTGGCAATTTCTGCGCACGCTGCGGCCCATCGAGCTCTACATGGTCTACAGCTGCGTCGGCGGCGACAAGCCCGTCGAGGTCGTATTGTTGAACGCGTCGTCGGTCGTCGTACTGCGTGATGGTGCGATTGGCTTGCCAACCGTCGAGTCGTACGCCGAGCTGGCGCTGCGCGTCCGCCAAGCCCTGCGCAATCCGTTGATTTAATCGAGTTTTCGTCAAGTGTTGTTTGCGTGCGAATGGGTGGTCTTGTAGGCTTTTTACGCGAGGTAGAGAGGGATATATGAAGGGCCATTTTCGAGAAGAGAAAGAGGTTTTCCGCGCGACGGGACGAGCAATCGCAAAGAACAGAAGAATAGAAGAAGAGCTGCCTAAGCAGCAAAGAAAATCAAGGCGCAGAGCGGTCTCACTCAAGCCATTCCTCAATTTGGCAGCTCATAGCAATTTAGCTAACCCACATTGCCCACCACTTGGGCAGGCGGGGCACCAATACATTCGTAACCCCCCAACCTGCTCGGCCGTTTGCGAGGAAAGGAAATACCACGAGTACTACGGTTAGGCCCTGCGTCATTAAAATGTGAACCGATTATCGCATGACACGGTTGGACTTGAATTCGCTTTTGAAAATATGCGTTGAGAGTAGCGGAAGACAAGTCACTGTTTAGTGTACGCAGACAACACCGCGTCAGTAAATTGGTTGCGGTTGCTCCGAGCCGTGGTGACCATGTTAGAAATCACACAGCGGCTACCGATCTAGACTTACAGAACTACTTACCATGCACATATTACTACTGGTCTAGCTTACATAACGAACAATATCACTTTCATATTTGCATTCTACTTCACACATCTCAGATGGTGCCACGCTGGGTGCCACGGTACAGCGCACTGCGTGGCTCAGACTCCTTACAGACCTCCGCGGCGAGGCGCCTTTCGAGCGCAGAAAGCTTTTGGTTTGTCGCTGCGATCGATGCTGCAATCGTGTCCTCCACGTCGCGGATCTTGGCCGCCAAAATCTCAATCGCCTCGACCGCCAATGGCGCCATATCAAACGTGTAGTCGAGCTCGAGCTCGGGCGAGAGCACCATGCGCAGAGTGAGCTGGAGATGGCCGTCTTGCGCGTCCGCAACGCACAACTTCTCGCGCGTCGACGGCTTTAAAGTCTCGGCGGCGCGCTATACGTGCATCCAGACTGCCAGTATGAAAAAGAAGATAGAGTACCTTGAACGCTGCCATGACGGCAGGCATGGGCAGCATAATGCTTGGTGGCGCATGCTGCGTCATGTCCGAAACGCAACATTGCCTAGTTGCCAAGCGTCTTCAACTGCACGGCGGACTTTTGAAAGGTGTGTACCATTGGCGCTTGGAAGCCTTGGACTCGAGCCAGACGACGTAGCGCTCGCTCTTGGTCATCGTCGCGACAACAAGTCGATAGGAGCCCGACGTCGCAACAAAGGCAGCGTTTTGCGCAAAAACCACTGGCAGTTGCTGCTTCATTGTCGACAAAAAGAGAGTGTGCGTGTGGAGACATGGTTGTCAACAATCCCAACCATCAAGCTTACCGGAGCACCTTCTTTTCTCGTTAGCCTATGGCTCTTGAGAGGAAGTGACGAATCGTCACTTGCTCTCACAAGCCCCGCACGAGGGGTCATTTGCCGTAGCTAGTGACACCAGCTCACGGGGGCTAATGAGAACGTATACGTAATATAAATTTTTAGAGAAATGAAAAATTGGTTTTCGGGAGCGGGGGCGAACGAAGCGGCGCCAAGCATTTCTGCTTGGGTCGCCTAGCGCAAAAGTCACCCACCGCACCGCACCCGATTGCCTTTTTTGCCCCAACACGGTGTCTCCTCTGCTCCACCTCGACGAAGGAAGCCCGCGTAGGAAATGCCGTCTACGTTCTCGTTGGCCAATTGCAGAGAAAGGCAGGCATTGGGCAACGCACAACACCAACGGACGGTGTCCAAAATGTCGTTGAGCCGAAATGACGCGATGCACCGTACGTCCGCCCAAAGATGCAGCAGCCGAAGCGGCGGGCCTTGACAAAAAGCAACTCGCGCACGCCAACGAGGACAAGCCCGCGAAAGTTGCGCGCCAAGAGAGCCACTGCAAGAGCCATACGACGGCGCATGCCAACGAGGACGAACCAGGCGTTGCGTATGCCGCATACAGATGGAAAGGTGGGTGCCGCATACGGTATGCGGCACCCACCTTTCCATCTGTGTCTCCTCCAATCACCATAAACGATATTAGACTAGACCACACGGTTAAGTCGTAAAAAGCAAACGACATTTTTACTTTAGAAAACGATCGTGGGCTCTGCCGTCGCGTTGGTGGTATTTCCAAACACAGTTTGAGGCGCGTGCATGGCTTTGAGGTCAATGACGCCGGCGCGCAAGAGGTTTTGGAGACTCCACCCGTCGCCGCGCCAGTCGGTCGCGTGCGTCTTCCAGCTCCAGTACGTCCAGCCCGCGTTGGCTTCCTGGAGCGCCTTGAGCGCATTGGTCGAGTACCGGCGCATGTTGTTGGGGTTGCGAAGGTCGTTGCGCACCAAGTCGCCGTGCGCCAAGCTCCACTCGCCGACGAAAACGCGGGTCCCGCGGTGGGCTTTCCACTGCGTCATGTCGTTGGCGATCCAGCGAGGGCCCTCGGTGATGAGTCGCTCCATGGGCCAGTTCTCGAAGCCCCAAATGAGGTACTTGTGCCAATCGATCCAGTTGTTGCGGTGGGATGGCAGCACATTTGCCCACTTGTGCCCAAACGACTCGTACTGTTCACTCAGGAACGGCGACATGAGGAGCACGCAGTTGCCGCAAATCGACCGAAGACTTGGGTACGCGCTGGTGTAGTAGAGCTTGAGTTTGGCTTCGTCCGTCTTGTGCACTTGCTTGGGGTCGAACGTTGGCTCGTTCAAAAGCTCGAGACCGAGAAACGCCGTGCTGGCCGCATACCGGTTGACGAGGAATTGGGCAGTCTACATGCGCATGGACAATATGTCCATCATCTTGTGGACTGCAAAAGGAGGGTTCGTACAGTGATGGTCACAAACACGTTGTCTGCGTTGTTTGTAAAGTGCGACTCGCCTTTGGTGATAGGCGAGCTGTTGTCATTGCCGTTCTGCGACCCTTTGGCAGCGTGGATGTCGATGAGAACGGCAACATTGTGCGTGACGGCCCACTCGTTGACGAGCCGGTCGAGGTACGCTAGACTGCCCGGCGTAAACGCGCGCCAGTCGTCCGTCTAGTCATTGGTGAGCAGGCTCGAGCGCAAGCTTTAAAAACGCACCGTAGGGTCTTCATAGATCCACCACCCGACGGGCACACGCACTGTGTTGAGACCATAGGACGCAATCTCTTTGATGTCGGCCTCGGTGATCCACGTGTCGCGGTGCGCTTTGATGAGCGGGTCGGCAACCGCATGCCCCACGAGCCGCATCGCGGTGTACTCGCCCCAATCGCGCTTGTCGGCGGGCACATGCCGCCAAATCGGCGACGTCTCGGTCATAAAGTGCTCGATGACGAGCCACGCTCCGAGGTTGACGCCGCGAGAGAGCACAGCGCCGGTGCGAATGGCCTCTTGCACATGCGCGCGCGCGATAGTAAGCAACAGCAGTAGCCACACGAGAGGTCGCGCTTGCATGGCGAGTTGAAAAATGCAAAGATGCTGGCTGCACGCCTGTCGTTGAGTTGACGGGCGTCTTCAAGGTTGCGCCGGCGTGAGTGCTTGTGGTCGGTCGAGATCCGTGGTGGTTGAACCAGAGACGTGTAAGACGCGTGATGTATGGTGGGATGCATGGCGACGAATTCGAGACGAGCGATACAAGCGAGCGTAGCCATTCTTGCCTGTTGATGCCGTCAAGTGGCCGAAGCTGTTGGGTTGCAGGTACCCATTTTGAGTCATTTTGAGTTTACACCTTGTGATGTACCACGCGCGAGTGCTATATAGCGGCGCATGTGCCTCAATAATCCTTTGCAATGTTGACGCTGCATGCGTCTCTGGTGTGCGGTTGTTGAAAGACGTACCGTGACGCCTCCGTCGGACAGGCTGCCCGTCTGGTCCAGCGCTCAAGATGCTTGATGTGCCAAAAATGATACGGATCGCGGATTGGCTACCAACGAGCCAATCGGTGTGCAGGAATGATTTTGGTAAATGGAATCAAAAAGTGCTTTTGTATTGGGCTCGAAAGTACGCTAGCATTGCGCATTGGTTGGCACTCGAGTATTTTTCTTCGCGCAAGCTGCGGTAGGCGCCAACGAATAAAACATGCTAAAGGATTTTCACCGTTTTTTACACAAAACCGTGCAACTTGATTGTGCCCTTCCTCAAAAGCGACTGCATGTTCCAGCCAAAGGTCCTCCAGTCCGACGAGTCGATCTTCCAGCTCCAGTAGGTCCAGCCGGCCTTGGCGTTGTTCATCGCTTGTAGCGCGCGATTGGCATATCTCGTCATCGTGGTCGCGTTGGAGAGGTCGACGAGACAGTAGCACTCGCAAGGCTCCACTCGCCGACGAAGACGGGCGTCGGCCGCATGCTCTGCCAGAGCGTAATGTCGTTGGCGATCCACTGCGTCCCGACGTTGATAATGTCGTTGACGTTCCAGTTCTCAAAGCCCCAAATGAGGTACTTGTGCCAGTCGATCCAGTTGTTGGTCGCTGCCGGCAGAAGGTTGGCCCACTCGTTCCCAAACGACTCGTACTGTTCGCTCAAGTACGGCGAGAGCATGATGACGCAGTCGGCGCAGATGGACCGTAGCTTGGTGTAGAGGTGCTTGTAGTAGAGCTTGACCTTGCTCCGGTCAATGTTGTAGACGCGGTCTGCGTGAACGGATGGCTCGTTGAGCATCTCGAGACCGATGAACGCCGGACTCGACTTGTACCGGTTCATGAGAAAGAGGGCCGACTACGCGTCCCATACCACGTTGACCACAGTTTAGCAGTCATCCGTACAGTACCTGCATGGTGGCGTAGACGTTTTCGGCGTCGTTGGTGAAGTGGGACTCGCGGGGTTTTGGTGGGGCGCTGTGGCCCTCGCCGTTCTGCGAGCCTTTGGCTGCATGCATGCCAACGAGCACCGCGACGTTGGCTTTCGCAGCCCAGTTGTTGATGAGGTTGTCGAGGTACGCCAGACCGCCGGGCGAAAAGCTCTCCCACGCTGGGTCCTACCATGCAGTCGCTAGCTTAGTCGGTCGCTCGCAAGTCGATATTCGTAGTACGTTGGGATCTTCGTAAATCCACCACCCGACGGGCACGCGCACCGTGTTGAGGCCGTAGGACGCAATCTCCTTGATGTCGGCCTCGGTGATCCACGTGTCGCGGTGGGCCTTGAAGAGCGGGTCGGCGACGTGTCGACCGAGTGATGCCATGGTCACATGCTCGCCCTGCTCACGCTTCTCGACCGGTACGGTTTGAAAGATGGGGCTGTTGGGCATCATAAAGTACTCGGTGACGAGCCACGCGCCGAGGTTGACGCCCCGCGCCTTGACAGCTGCGAATGCTGGACGCGACGTGGGCCGACGCGACGGCGGCCAGCAGCACCGTCGTTCGCAGCAGTCGAAGATAGGAATACGTCGAGGGCATCTAAATGTCAAATGGCAAATCGCAGGCGCGTCTGTCCAGGAGGATGGGTTGCGGGATCATCTGCGCCAGATGGGGCTATGTTTTCTGGCTGGCGGAGGTCTGCGCTGAGATTTGCACGTGGCGACTTGTGTGCGGACGATGCCGGCGGTCGTTTGTTTGTTGCGCGGAATTGTAAGGTTTCTCTCTACGGACATGGAGCGGATACAGGTGTACGAGATGGCGCTGGGGTGCAGCGTTGCGATAGGCAGAGTGGAACGACTTTGCAATCAATCACAGCTATCGGACTTGGGATTTGTGCGGCTGGTCCCCGGATCGATCCCAGCCACCTGACGTAAACGTGTACTAGTATGTAAACGGTTTAACTACTACGAGCTGTGAAGCGGATCAAGTGGCGACGTGCGCCCCGACCTTGAATTGCTTTGTTGTATGACCACACCGCTCGTAAGTTTTTGACGCATCGCAGCCAATGAATTCGATTCGTGTACTTGCTATCAGTCGTGTGGTCGTTGCTTGGATGAACTTTCTATCAGGTTGGCAGCAAATGCAATCAGCTTTGTGGATACGTGTGGGTCGGCGCAGAGTGCAACTCGACGGCGTGTTCATCGCCACGTGCCGCCTTGCATTAAAGTCTGGCTACGGAGACGATTTGATTTGGATTTAACTTCTGAAAGTGCGCATTCTAGTGTGTGCCTGTATGCCAGGCGGTGATCAACGCACGACGCAGGTTCGTTCACGCCTATCCTCGAGAGCCTATTAGAGTGCAGATAGCGACAGCAAGAACAATACGTGCTGGCAACTCGAAAACGCAATTCAATGATTCTCAGCCTACATATAGCAAGAACAATACGTGCTGGCAACTCGAGAACTCAATTGAATGATTCTCAGCCTACATATATATGTATACTACGGTATTAGAAATAGATCAGATTCGTTGTGTGTGTCGCGTGTGCCATATGTATGAGATGTTTCTATCATTTTGCGTGTGGACGGTTGAATGAGTCTCGGGTTACACTAGACGTACAGGGCGGGTAGTTGCCAGTTGGAACCGACACGATCGTTTTCCTAACCTATATGACCGTGAAAAGCCCGTAACTATTGTCGTAAAGATGGCACAGGCAAAGACGATAGATAGATGACAATCGTGCTTGACGTCTCTGGTCACCTTGCACCTTTTTGTGATAAGTTGCTGGAACAACGGCGTTGACGCCGTGGCGCAAGTCGGAACCCGGAGCCTGCACCAGATGGGATGGGACTGCATGGCTGAACGTTGCGCGTCCTCGCGGTAGCCAGGAGATGACACCATTACCGACACGATCGTCGATGTGCACCACCCATATCAGTTGTAGCCACAACGACCCGGCGGAGGTAGACTCATTTCAACCGCCGAAACGACAGCTGGATGGAAGGTTAGATGGGAAATGGTTGCGACCGTGTGGCGGAGAGCACTTTACGGCGTATGATAGGTACGTCATTACACGATCGAATGGCCTGGACGCAGATACCGGTATCGAATCTGTCCAGGCCACTAGTACGCTACCTCCACTGACCTCTACTCGCGTGCCATGACTGCTCGTCGCCGTTGCGACTTTTACACCAGACGAACCAGCACTCCATTCGCACGATTAACAGCCTCGTTTGGCCAGCGGAATCCCTGGTGTCGGTCACAAGGCAACTAGCGACGGCCGTGCGCAAGATGCTCGCAGTTCCGATACACGTTTGTCCAGCCCTCGCTCGCTCTGCGCACACACGCCTCGTACGTGCTGCGCTGGGCGGCGGTCGCCAGTTGCGCGCGTGTCGCGGCATCGTGGTCGTGCTCGATCTGCTTGATCTGCCGCGCCATGAGGTCCCGCTCCGCTTCCGCGGCGCAGAGGCGTGCGCGCAGCGCCTGCGCCGAGTTCAGTTGCATCCGTGCGACGGGAAACGCGTAGCGGGCAACGGCGCCAAAGCACGCGGGGATCGTGAGCTCGAGGACGAGGGCGCCGGCGGAATTGCGGCGGAGGTCGGCGGATGCTGTCGCACCGTTGTTTGAGAGCGCCCACTACGTGATCGTTCAATTCTCGCCGCGAGTGGCCATCCAATCCATACCTGTACACCTGCGACGACTGCCGTCGTCGGCAAGACAACGTCTCCCGTGTTGTGCTCGGCAAGACCGGCCACTGAGATGTACCTATGATTTCATGAGTCGCTGTGGACTGGACGCATGGACCGACCATAGCTCGCGCGTCGACGCCGACTCGATCCAGAGCGCAAACGTGTCGTCCACGGCGGTGACAAGGACGTGGAAGTCTTCGGGTTGCGACGGAAAGCGACGATGGCGCTCGTAGAGCAACGTTGTGGCAGCGGACGGACGGTGCGGCGGATGCGAGAGCCACTGCTTCAAGAGGAGGATGCCAATCAGCCATGCGCTAAGAAGCGCCGACCCAAAGCGATGCGGACGCTTCGCGACGTGGTACGACATGCTGGCACTTCGATTTCTGTGAGGTATGCGAGGTTGGCACCTGGGACGTGGCGCCAACGGCTCCATCACCAACGGTCGGAGCCACATCAAGAGAGCTGTCAACGCTTACATCATGCACTCAACTAGTCGTCGGCGTCGTCACGTCCGTGTAGGCCTCGTCGCCGGTGGCAAACTTGTGCTGGACGACCTCGAGCACATGGCGAACGGCCGCGCGCGAGCCTGTGGGGAGCTTGAGTGCCTTGACCAGCGTCGAAACGGTGCCGTTTGAGCCGTCCCAGTGGCTCTCGTCGGGCGCTGCGAGCACGTGGATGTAGTAGAACGCAATGAGCTGTCGTCGCTCGGGGGCGGCCAGAGCCATTTTCGGTCCCTCCCGCGGCTGGTTGACGCGCGGGGGCTTCTTCGTCCGTGACGTCTTTGCCGCCGAACCTTGGCGCGCGAGGGCGTCGGCCAGGCGCTTGGAGGCTCGCGTCTTCACCGCGTCGGTCGTTGGGTCTTGCTTGCCCATCACTTGGAGTTGTGGGAAGCGGCGTCGAGAAAACGGTGCCACCGACCTGATCGTGGTGGGCAGTTTTAAACACACCATAGAGTACATTCCGAGTTGGATTGGAGCAGCGCATTCCGGGTCCATGTAGTCTGCACGGCGAACGCTTCGTTGGGTACTCAAGTTGTCAAAACGGTGTACACAATGGCAATCGATGATGAGCGCTAAACTGGACCAAACTCGTCCACATCGGTGGTATTGCGGTGCAGCTCGACACGAGAAATCGAAGATATGTCCACAGTCCCAACGTATGGTGGCGAGTTGATCCATGTCGATGACTTAGTCGATTTCCATTCAAACGCTGTCAAAACTGATGTCAAAGGCTACACAGCAGTGCGACGAGGTCCACGACGACGACGTGGGCCGCGGGCCGGGCCTTGGGGTTCGGGTGCAAGCACAAGTCGGCAAGTGCCACGAGACTTGGTGGGCAGGAGGCGCCGAATTTGGGCTTGAGCTGGCCGTTGACGACGCGCTGGAGGATCGCGAGGTTGGTGAGGTCGTTGCCCGACGCAGTGCGTTCGTTCGCAAACGGAATCTTGTGCGAGTCAAGCTCCGAGAGCACAATGCCAAACGCGTAAATGTCGGCCGCCTTCGTGTACGCGTCTCCCGTGAGCACTTCGGGCGCCATCCAGCGCGACGTGCCAAAGCCATGGCTGGTCACGTCCACCGTGTCCTCGACCGTCGGGTGCAGATGCAGTGCGACGCCAAAGTCGCACACCTTGGCGCCATTTTCGCTCGGATCCACGAGCACGTTCTTGGCCTTGATGTCGCGATGCACGATGTCGAGGCTGTGGAGGTACTCGAGGGCTTCGGCAATGTGCAGTGCGTAGCGCACTTTGGTCGATGGCCACTTCATGTTGGGGTCCAAGTCGAGGAGCGCACGGAGGTCGCCGCCGGCCACGTACTCGGTCAGTAGCATCATGTCGCGCTTCGACTTGGGCCACGCCGCGCCAATGCAGCGCACAATCCGTGGGTGGTCCAAGCTAGCGAGACACTGGTCAGCAAGACGAGATAGTGCTATACGACGAACCTTGCGAGCAGAGTGATCTCGCGCAGAAAGGCCGCGATGTCGCTCTGGCTGCGCTTCTCTGGCAACAAAATCTTGATGGCGACGACCGACGCGTGGTAGTGGCCGAGCCAGACCTCGCCGTAGCCGCCTTGGGCTAATCGCTTCTCCATCGAGATGGCGTCGCACTCGAGACGCGCCACATTGTGCTCAAAGCGCATCGTGAGCGGCGACATCGCGAGCGACTCCATGCTTGCGTAGATGACCTGCTCGACCGAGAGAAGGCGCTCGCGCTCGCCGGACGAGTGGCTCGACGTGTACTGCACGCCGCGCGAGTACGTGCGCCGGCGTTTGTACACAAAGCACACAAAGACGCCGACAATGGCCTCGATGATCCCTGAAACGAGGAGAAACCAGCTCAACGTCGAGTAGCTCCAAAAGCCAGAGGCCGTTGGCGGCGACGTGGGCAGTGGCGGCCCGACCGTGGATGTGACACAGACAATGTTGCCTCGGAGCGAGTGCGCTTGGTCGTCGCCGCAGTCGGCAGCACCACCGGGCGGCGCGTCGACGTAAAAGTAGTCGAGCGCCGAGAGAAATTCAAACTCGTTGTACGTGATGCGAATAGGAACTGGGATCGCGTTGCTCGCAAGGTAGAGCTCAGCGAGGTCGAGCATGCCATAGATGCAGTTGGGTATCGCGGTCAGCGCGTTGCCCGTCAAGTCCCTAGTACGGTTTCATGCGATGAGAACTCGACACAAAGACGTACAGGCGACTGAGGTTGGGCGCCGAGAGGTTAAACGTCGTCAAGTTGTTGTTCTTGGCATTCCTACGCGATCGTGAGACGAGGCATGCAGCATGGACGAGCACGGACACGGCAACGAGGTTGGTGTACGTGATGGTCGATGGTTTCTTGGCGATCGAGACGATTTGGTTGTTGGAAATGTCGCTACGCGCCCATAATGATATGAGATGGACGGAAAGGATACTGCGCCCTACAGTTGCCGTAGGCCGGTCATAGCGCCAATGTCGTGTGGCAACGTCGTTAGATCGCAGTTGGCAATCATGCTAGTAGACACCATGTCAACGTCGTTTTTCGGCCATCAAACGCGCGTACACGTCTGTGAGCTGCGGTGGCAGCGAGTACCGTGGTAACACCGAGAGCTCGACGTTGACAATGGTCCTAACAGCACATTGCAGTCGCCTCATGCGTGGAAAGCGACTCGAGAACGCACAGCTTGGTGATGTTGGCGTTGGCGTAGAGCAGTTGATCGTGCGTCACGCTCGTCCAGTTGTCGGGCTGCGCCGTCCCGCGCTCGCCGACGCTGGAGCCCCACGACCAGATCCTACGACAGCGAGATTGCCCTAGCTGCCACGCGTGCGCGCCGCCTACACTTCGTGGCCGTCAATGTAGTGCACCGGCGCAACGGCCTCGGGGCTCGTCTCGTGCAGCCCGTGCGCCGCGTGCAGGCTAATGGCCATGGCGCTCGCTGCCCAGCGCGACCTTCGTCGCCCCATCGCTCCAGTCGCGCAAAAATCGAATATCGAACTCAGATGTGGGTGCAAGCGTGTCAGAATCCATCGCGTTCGGCAGAATATCAGCTTTCAAGGGGTATCGAGTCCGCACCTCTCTGTCTTTAGCAGACCACTGGACCGCAATGTATGCATTCCTACAGGATATGGAGTCTCCGATGATTCTCGGCTAGGTACGGTTTTGCGTTGAAACGGATCCGTAGCGCACTTTATCGCACCCCGCCACTTCAACGCGTCATAAAATGCGACGGACCTGTTTCGCATACAAAGGCCGAGGTATTTTTTCGCGCGGGACCTACCATGTGGGTTGAAGGACCAGACGTGGCATGGACTGTCGCATGCGATCTACATACGGGCGAGCGAGCGAAGCGCCACTGGCAACCTATAAGAATACGGAGGGATGGTGCATGGCGATTGTTGAAGAAGAGGATGTCGTTGCCACCTCCATTTTCGAACCAGTGCCATGTCGAGCGACGAGGACCACGCAAAAGACACCCAACGTGGGCGATGGCCAAGGTTGCAGTATCCGCTGGCGAATAGTACATGATGTCGGTAGGGTACGGTGGTGCTGCATTGACCATGCAGCGGCAAGCCGATGCGTGTCCAACGGAAGAGATTGCATTAGCACGGTGCCATGGGACTCGTCGTTTTTTCATGCAAGCTTACCCTGAATTAAATTACGCGAAATAAAGTGCTGCTGGAACTGCTTGGTGGCTAAAGAAACGGCACGGGCGTCATCGAGATTGCCTGAATCGTCATCCGGCGCTTCTTGGGGGCGTGGTTTGTCTGCAAGATCGGCTTGCCAGAAGAACTCGTGTGCGACCCCTTGCTCGCTTGCACAGGAGAGCGATCGCGTTTTAGGGCGATTCTTGGCGTCGTTGACTAGATTCAAGCGTAAGCAAAACTCATCGGAGGAATAGTCGGGGTAATATAGAGAAAGACAACAGTACGTGATTGAATGGCAGCCTGAATCACGTGCCGTGTCGATTCTATGCATTGCATGCCCCATAAGATGCGAAATGGCATACAAGGAGTTGTACCGTCGTAGAGCACGGGGTAGCCATTAAACGACGGCGGCTTTGACATGTCGACAAGATGCTCGTGATGCATGCGCATGATGATGGCCTTTGAAAATAGGAGCGTCCACGAGAAGCACTTGGCGAGCGCAAGCACGGATACGGAGCGGCGAAGCTTTCCGTGGGCAAACTGAATGGCTTGGTAGTACGACAGGTCTTGGTAGACCCCGACGCGATACGAGTCCACATTGTCGGGATTCGGTATCAGAACCTTCTCTGCGCAGAGCTACCGCACGCATAAGAGCTTGGTGTAGTATCAATAGGTTGCCAACCTCGTCCACGCGTTTTTTCATAAGAGATGGAGCGAGGTCGAATCTCGCCAAGATTCTACAAGCAAAAATAGATCAGTGAACGGGATCATCGTCGCGACAGGCAACGTACTCTGACATCTCGACGGTCTCAAACTGGACGCAGTACTTCATGATGTCTTCCTTCGCCAGCGCTTGGCTCGGCTGGGTCGCTCGTTGCGTAGGCACGTCAATCGGTGACGGTGACAGTGCTGATTGTATGGCTACGATGGGGCTTTCGCAGGGTGGTGGGCTCCCCCCGGCGAACGAATGCCCTTCGTCACTGGTAGGCGACATTGGCACTTGAGCCTGAGAGAAGCCTCCTTGAGGCAGCTCTTGCGCCGCGACCTGGAATGCGTCTTCGGACGCTTCCAGACGCATCGAAACGAAGTGGAACGGCGTCACGATCCGCCCCTGCCACGTCATGAGGCTCGGCTTGCGCATCTTTCCATAAAAGTGATACCAGATCGACCTTCAGCGAGGGCTTCACGAACTCTTCACTTAAGTCCGACGTCGCTTGCTTGAAGTACTTTGGTTGCCAATCGTGTGGGCACGTCTCTACGTTGAGTCATGAGTGATAGAAACACATCTGAGCGGTAGCGCACCGTTGTACGTAAGCTTCATCGTCAGCAAACGGTTCCCAGGAAGCGCGTCGAGAGAGTTCGTGATGCTCACAAGTGACCGAATCATCTGAATCGCTTGATCCTTGATCTTCTCGGGGTCCGAGCTTACGACTTCGTCGCCAAGAAAGTTGGTCGTAAGCGTCGTTGCATCCGGCGTGTTTCGGATCTTGAACGAGTAGCTACAGTACACAAAAATTGTCATTATCCAGTGCAAATGCCGTCGTGCGTACCTCTCGAGGAGCTTGTCGGGCTTGGCATCCTTCCCGACGGCGTAAATGCAGAAAACGACCTGCTCCAGATACTCCTTCTCGAGGGCTTCGAACGCGCCTTCCTCCATCCACAGCGTCAACGCCAAAGCGTCTCGCATCGCCGTATCGGTGCCATCTTTTTCCGGCGCAAGGCAGTGGATGTGCATGTCCGCGTATACGCGCTTTCGGAAGACATCTTCGGGGAAGAGGCCTAGGATCAAGGTGCGCATGATGAGTACCATTTGACGTCGCGGGAAGAGGACTTCGCAGGTAGCAGATCTCCGAGACCGAGACGCGGATCATGTTCTTGACGACGTTGGTCGACTGGACGCGTGAGATCTTGGTCAGCGCGGAAGGAGACACCGGGATGACGTCAGACGACGTCAGCGGGACGACCGTGGGGCTGGGGCTCGCTTCCATCGGAGGTGCCATCTTCGTCGTCATCGGCTCCTCCATGGCTCGGTCGTACGCTTCCGCGGGCTTCTTCTTCACGGTTCTCTTCAAGGCGCGGGGCTTGGTCATCGCTGGTCCTCTCCCTCTGGTCGTCTCTCGAGCGTCGCAAATTGGCAAATGACGGTCGCTTCTCGCGCGCGAATGCATCGAACGCGATCTTCCGGTTAACTTTGTGTATCCGGACTCCTGATTCTTTTACCCAATCGCAATGCGTCCTACTGAATCAAACACTGGATCGATACAAAGTCCTGTGTAGATGTATAAAACCTCGAACTGGAGTCTGTGTTTTATACACAAGATCGGCGAGACCCGTCGGCGACAATGGCAGCGCCAGGACCCGCAAGCGACTACCATGAGCAGTCGATGGACGGCAAGATCGCGTACATCTACGAGCGCATGAAGGACTCGCCGTTCCTCGGGCAGTGCCGGAATACGATGAAGCAAGAGGTCAAGAAGCAACTCAACGCGATGGACGCGACCGACGGCCCGATCGAGGTCAACCTGAGCTACCTCATGCAGCGACTTGGCCTCACGCAGGCCATCAAGAACGCCGTCATGGACATGCACACGCAGGCCATGAGCCAGCGCCAGGACGCGAGCCCGCACGACAAGCGGCTCTTGATCCGCGACGACGACCGGAAGGAGCCGCTGGACACGATCGAGGCCGCCCGTCAGCAGTGGGACACGAGCATGACGAGCGCGTTCGTCCAATACTGCGCCGAAACCGAGCTGCCGTACCTCCACGAGACAAAGGACGTCGTGCCCACCATCGGAACGCGATTTCTCTGCACAAGGTCGCCATCATCATCATCCACGCCATCACCGCCTCATGCGATTCGCGTACTAGTGACGACTTTCTGCAAGCGCTTCAGCGCATCAAGGCCGTGAACCGCGCTGCCCACATTGACGCCGACTACTGGTGCACGATCCAGCCGCTTCTGTACACGAAAACATCGCTGGAGATGCAGCAGCGCTACGTGGTTCGACATCGACGTCGCATGCCATCATCATCATCGTCTGCGTAGGAGCTCGGGCCGACGCATGCGCAGTTTGGCCTCGATGAAGACGTGCCAAACATCATTGGCGACTACGTGTACATTGCCAATAAGAACAAGATTGGCGACCGCGTTCTTGTCAACAGCACGGTGCCCAACGCTCGGCAGTACGCCAAGACAGGCTGCCCCATCAACATCCGCCCCCACGTACGAAGGCGACGTGCGCCGACTTGCATTGCCGATATGCGTAGGTGTGGCGCCAAGCGCTCAATGTCGTCATCAACGCGGAAAAGCAGGCGCATTTTATGCAGCTCCAAGCCCTGACAACGTCCAGCGTGTATGCGACCGATGGCATGTACCTTCTCGACGTCCAGCAGACGACCGACAGCTCCGACTACTTTCCATTCGAAGACCACTTGCGCAGCGTCATGCTGGCCTTCTCGCGCGATGCATCGATTCGCACGCAGGCTGCGGCACGTCTCGAGTCGCCCGTCTCGACGACGATGAGCAACGGCGCGTCGACGGCCGTGCCACCCTCGGGGGTGCTGCCGCTCAGCGGGCTCGTCATGTTTGCGGCGCCGCTCTGCTATCTGTACAATGACCCAGCACACGTCTACTTCATATTTCGCGAAATGTACTGCCGGTACTGGTGCCAGCTCCACGTCATCTCGTCCCAGCCCAATGCGATCCTGCCGCTCTGCAAGACGTTCGAGTCGCTCCTGGTGCGGTACGAACGGTCATTTTTGTCGATTGTCGCAATCGAAACATATGGATTGGGTAGCACGATTCCGCACGTGGTCCACCATTTGCTGCAGGTACATGCTTCGCTCCCATCGGTTTGGAACGACGCATAGAATATGACTCGAGTAGCATGGGATCACTCCACTCGCGATTGCGTTTCCGTGGATCCAAAGCGGCTTCTCGGGCGTGCTGGAGATTGACCAGGTCGACCTTTTCAAAGCCTCGGTCGATGATGTACCACATGTGTTGTGCGTAGGTGCTCTTGCTCTGGGACCGCGTCATAGGCTACGACACCTTGGAGATTCTACCGATCTTTGCCGCCGCCCTGTTCACGTTTCGCGCCAAAGATCTATTGCTCGTCCTGCGCGCCGATGATGTGCGTGATTTGTTCTCTGAGGCGCTCGAGATTCAAGTGCTCCCGATCTTGCAGCATTTTCTCTTTCCCCTCGACTCGGAGTAATAAACAAGTCGTGACGACGTTGCGGCATGGGTCGATGTTCGATCGTCGACGTCTACTGAAAGTGTTGTTGGTAGGCTTGCAGTACTGCTACATTCGAGTGTGTGGCTTGTGTAAATCTGTGTTGGTATACAAGATGCATCCGTTGGCGTGGGACAGGACAACCCGTCGGTCATCCCTCAGCACGACTTGCTTCCGAAGGTCCTATATGTTTCATAGCAAGGCCCAGTGGCAATTAAAACGAGTGGTATTGGTGAGAGGCCTCTCTGTGAGAAAGTGCTAACGCCGCCAACGGGCCCTTCGTGATCGCCCAATTGCACGTTGTACAATCGAAACCAGAGCCTCGTATCTCTTGTCATATCTGTTTTGGATTCCTCTCGAGCATGTCGAACACTGCCTCCACGCTTTCCCAACGCTACTGCGAGTTTGCCAACGTGACTTTTCCGTCAGCTATCGACGACGGCGCGTACCGCGTGAGCGTCAAGACGAACAAGGCGCAAACCAACGCGGTCATCTGGCTCGAGTCCAAGAAGGCCAAGCTCCAGTGGTATGTTTCCCTCGTATTATCACACAGTCCATTTCACAGCACTTTACACTCGGTGTGCTAGGCAATGCGTGGTCGAAGACTTTGCCAAGCACATGAAGACGACGTTTGCGCTTCCGAACGCCGTCATCTTGGCAGCCATCAAGGTACGATTCTAACTCAACCAAACGCCAACGTTTCGATGGTAGAATGGACTCGCCACCATTGACGGTGTCGCATCCAAGGTGGTCGATGTGACGGCAAACCCATTGGTGGCACCTGCCAGCACGATCAACCTGTGTGCGAAGAAGGCGAACTTGGCGCTTCGCCTTGAGATCAAAATGTCGCCCGAGTGGACGACAGACTACAGCTTTGAGATGACGCCCATCGAGGTCAAGGTCGTCGACATCTTGGAGGCTCGCATCCGCGACCTCGAAGAGATCATCGCTCGACCGCGCTTGGTGTTCTGTACCGTGACGGGGACGATTATTGCGGGTACAAACCAACCGTGCACGTGGGCCGCCCCGGACGGGGAGAAGGCGTCGGCGCTCGTTCGCCTCAAAAACAATGCCCAAAATGTTGTCGTGGTGCAGCGAGGTGTGTACACCATCCAATGCGCTTGTCTGTCCGCAGCCACTACGTCTGCGTCCATCTCCCTTTTCATCAACTCAGTTGCCGTCAAGACGTCGTCCTACTCGACCCAGTACAACTCGACCCAGATGCTCGACATCGCCCATGTTGCGCACCTTGGCGCTGGCACCCACCTCCAGCTCCGCAGCGGCACCACATACGCGGCCTTCGATGTGTCGATGACACTTATCTTACACGCGTAGCGTTCTCTACTGTCCTTGCCCAAGCAGCCTGTGAATAATTCATTTTTATCACCGTGTTGTAAATGGTGAGCTACTGGGAGGAAGAGCGTGAATACGGATACTAGTACGGTCAAATTCACGACGACCATGCTTGCACTACATAGATCGTAGTTCAAAGTGCCGTCAATGTATGCAAATACCAAGCGTGCCTCTTCTGCCCCGAGTACGAGATGTACCGCCACTTCCTCCTAGACTGCGACTTCATCAAGGACGTGTAGAGCACGCTTCACGCAGTCACGGTCCCATTGGGCGTGACCTTGCCGAAAACGCTCTCGGGCTACCTCTACTCGACGCCCAAGACGGCGTCCAACATGCACCGAGCCGCGTTCCGCTACCTCTGGTCCGTGCTCCGCGCCTGCGTCTGGTTTAACGTCTGACGAGTCCGGAACGATCGCGTCTTTCGCGCCGACCTACCGCTGCCAAGTCCATGGACGATTGCCGTCAAGGCGGCGCGTGTCGCTCAACAGCACAATCCGGCTCAAAACAATCTTGTCATCAACTGACGCAAGACATCTGTGGTTTTGACGAAGCCCAACGCGTCTCTGACGAGTGTTATCGACCTCACACCAATGAAGAACTCACGGGTGCTGGATCTTTGGAGCCATATATATGTCTCGTCTCTGCAGACAGCAGTGTACCGCTTTATGAGATGACGTCCATCGAAGGCAAGCTCTTCGGCCTTTTACAGGCACGTATTCGGGACCTCAAAGAGATGATTGCACGGCCACGCAGGGGTTGACATCTTGAAAGCTGCGTCAATGATACTATGCGCACGTGGACATTATCGACAGCATTGACGCTACTTTGAATTGACAAGAAATCCGATGCCGCCGTGCTGGAGGCCGGTTCGCACCTCGTCCACCGCGCCTTTGGATAACTAAAGCTCGGCATCGATCTTAACTGTAAATCGACACCGCTGTCGGCAAGAAATCGTACTGCGGCCAAGCCCCGTATACAAGACGGAAACTGTCGCTTTAGAGCTCGCGAGTAACACGGCGGTTCAGATCGTGAAGGTAACCAAGGACTCCAGCTTCCTCGCTAGGTACTGGCAAGGGTATTTATTATTTACCCTTGGTACTGGTAGCATATCGATGTCACTCAAGTCTGTATATTGTCTAACCGGATGTCCGGATAATCATGGTGTGGGCAACCTCTTTCAAAAGCAGCAAATTGATGACAGCGCACGGCTCGTGAGGTGGAAGGACAATATAAACAGACCTGTAGTGCTGGAGAGAACTTGCACTACCGATAAACTGTTCTATTTCGCATCCAGACCCATCGCTTCACGTTTCACAATCGAGAGCACTCCTCGCTGCCATATCTGTTTTGGATTCCTCTCGAGCATGTCGACCACTGCTTCCGCGCCTTCGCAACTTTTCTGCGAGTTTGCCAACGTCACCTTCCCATCGACGGTGGACAATGGCGCGTACCGCGTCAGCGTCAAGACGGACAAGACGCAAACCAAAATGGTTCTCTGGCTCGAGTCCAAGAAGACAAAGCTCCAGTGGTACGACTATTTTCGCCATCACCATTGGTCTTCACGATATATTTTGTAGGCAGTGCGCGATCGATGACTTTTCAAAGCACATGGAGACAACATACGCGCTTCCGAACGCGGTCGTCTTGGCAGCGATCAAGGTACGATTCCAGCTGTACACAACCAAGCGCGAAACTTCGTTGCTAGAACGGACTCGCTGCAATTGATGGGGCCGCATCGAAGATGGTCGATGCTGCGACAAAGCCATCGGTGGCACCCGCCAGCACGATCAACCTGTGTGCGAAGAAGGCGAGCTTGGCGCTTGCGCTTGAGATCAAGATGTCGCCAGAGTGGACAGCAGGGTACCGCTTTGAGATGACGTCCATCGAGGTCAAGGTCGTCGACATTTTGGAAGCTCGCATCCGCGACCTTGAAGAAGCCAAAGCTGCACCGCGCATGGGCTTCTGCACCTTGACAACGACAGCATGCTACGCCACCAACACTTTCACTCCGTGCACGTGGACGGCGTCGACAGCATCGACGCTCCTTCGCGTTGAGAAGAATACCAACATCATCGTGCTGCAGCCTGGCTTGTACCACGTTCACTGCAACCTTACGCTGGCTAGTGTTCCGTCCGCCTCACTCACCCTCCGCATCAACGACGCTGCCGCCAAGACATCGTCCTACAGTGGGCATGCCTCGTACATTACGAGCAAACAGCTCGACCTGGTCCATGTGACGTACCTGGATGCTGGCGCGAGCCTTACACTTTGCGCCAGCATGAACCAAGGCAGCGCGAATGGGTCGATGACCATCATCCTGCTCGATCGCGGAACGGCGTAGAGTGTCATGTCTTTGATAATGCAACGAATTCTGTGCACGAAACTCACCGCATGTGTCCACAAACTTGTCGATACGCATCCACAGCAATGCGTTATCAGCGATATGAACACCCCCTGGGTGTTTGACGACTTTGTATTGGTTTTGAAGCTTTTACAGTCTCATGTGGTGCATTCGATCGCGTCTATACTTATAGTAATTGCTTGTTGGCGACGTTGAGGTTGAACAATTATGGGTCGTGTTCTTGTACCACATAGTACACGGCGCATGCGGTTGCCCGGCTTTCTCATCCTTGGCCTTACGATGGGAAGGCGGTGGTGTAAGGATGATTCCCAACATTGGAAATAAATAGACCAGAAAGTTCGACAATTTTTCGAGTTACCATAACGACAGCATGGCGTCTTTGAATACATGTCTAGCGTGATGTCTAACGTGATGTCTTGCATTGTCCACCCGCCACTCCTCCCCCGAGGCCGGGGCCGGGGCGGGAATACAAGCAAATGCACTCTTTCGCACTCCCGTGTACTAGTATCGAAAAACAGCTCAAACCTGCGCTGCCATTGGCTCGAGTCCAAAAAGACCAACGTTATCGTCATAGTACTTTGAATCCAACGCGCGTAATCACCTGGTGACTAATCAAAAGTAGTGACAGTACTGTGCTCTTGAGGCGACTTGTCAATATAGAACTGCTGTGCTGGAGAGAACCCGCGCGATCACCGAATTATTCGATTCCATATCTAAACTACGATCGAGATCGCTTGTCGTTGCCATAAATTCTTTGGATTCCTCTCGAGCATGTCGAACACTGCCTCCACGCTTTCCCAACGCTACTGCAAGTTTGCCAACGTGACCTTTCCGTCGGCGGTCGACGATGGCGTGTACCGCGTCAGCGTCAAGACGGACAAGGCGCAAACCAGCGCGGTCATCTGGCTCGAGTCCAAGAAGACCAAGCTCCAGTGGTACTACAGCATTGCTGCGTGAAACATACTCTAAATGGATTCACCTCTTGTGTAGGGCGTGCGTGATTGAAGGCATGGCCGAGCTCATGACAACTGAGGATTTTGTCTTGCCGAGTATTGCAGTCTTGCATGCTATCAAGGTGAGCCTACAAGCATCACGTTCTTGGAAGCATCATCCTTGTCTTAGGACGGACTTGCCGCCATCGTTGGCCCCAATACGCCGGAGGCCAAGCTCTCTTCCTCAAGCATCGTTGACCTTACGATGAAGAAGGACACGCTGGCGCTCGATCTCGCGATCCACCTCTCGCCCGTGTGGACGGCGACGTACCGCTTTGAGATGACACCTATCGAAGTCAAGCTCGTCGACATCTTGGAGGCTCGCATTCGCGACCTCGAGGAAGCCAACGCTCGACCGCGCGTGGCGTTCTGCACCTTGACGACGACGACAGAAATAGGAGGTTCCCTGTGTGAGTGGACAGCTCCGTCGCCGCATGAAGCGGCGGCACTCGTTCACCTCGAAGGCGGGACCAGCAATGTCACCGTGCTTCAGGCAGGCTTGTACCACATCCACTGCACTTTTACAACGGAGACGGGTGAAATCACACTGTACGTTGACGAGGCTGACGCCGGGACGGCACCCTATACGTGCTACAAGCCGAACGAAGACGAAGCGAGTTGGTACTATCAAGCCGACGTGACGCACGTTGCGCAGCTAGCTGCTGGGGCTCGCATCGAGCTTGACGGGGGCCTCTACGAAACTACTATTCCCGGGTCGATGACCATCCTCAAGCTCCAACAAGGCGCCTTCTAAGAGCACAGTACGAGCACAAGCGACAGACAGAACCGCTTGTGCAATGTGTACTACTGTAGAAGCATCATTAACATTTGCACAATCCTTGTATTCTTGATCATAAATCGCAAAACGCGGTCGCAATTCTCCACAACACACTTCAGCGATCAATACACATAGCACAACCGCACTTCTCTTCAAAAACCTTTCTCGTCCCTCTTACATACTGTACATTGGCGTACAACAGTCGCGACCACAGCGTACATGTAAGCACACTCATTCATTGAATCCCAATCAAAATGAGCCATTGCAACAACCTACCGCCTAGTACAGCCTACCTCCAGCGCCAGCGCCCGGACGCCATTTGCTGCGCGTACGGCTGCGGCGCCGCCGAATCGCAACAACGCGCGTTCTACGACTGCGAGAGGTCGTCCAGCAAGTGTGGGCGTTCCACGCCGGTGCCTGGCGGCGCTTCGGCGTGACGTCTGTACGTGTCACCGCGGCACTTGAAGAACTGCTCGTTGATGTTGCCAAACGCTTGCAGCGCAATCTTCGCTTGGCCACTCAGGAGCGCGTGGAGCGACGCCAACTGGTCCGATAGCGCCGAGATGCCCCACTCGAGCTTGAAGGACGCCGAGAGGTCGACGGCGCCGCCTGCGACGCAGTTGTGGTAGTAGAGCACGAGCACCTTTTCGATCTCGACATCGCAGTCGAGCGACGAGAGGCCCTGGAGCGTGCACTGCGCCGCGAGGGCCGCGCGCCACTTGAAGTAGACGTCCGTGGCCTTGTTGGGCGTCGTAGTGATCTCAGCCACATATACTAGTACTACAAGATACGTCCATTGACGTGGGACAGGACAAACCGTTGGTCATCTCTCAGCACGACTTGCTTCCGAAGGTCCAATAGGTTTTATAGCACGGCCCAGTGACAATCAAAACGAGAGGTGTTGGTGAGAGACCCTACAGAATGTGGGAAAGTGCTCACGCCGCCAACGGGCTGTTCTTGGGCGCCCAACTGCACGTTGTACAATCGAGACCAGCGCCTCGTATCCATTGTCATATCTGTTTTGGATTCCTCTCGAGCATGCCGAACACTGCCTCCACACTTTCCCCGCCCCTCTGCGAGTTTGCCAACGTCACCTTTCCGTCGGCTATCGCTGACGGCGCGTACCGCGTGAGCGTCAAGACGAACAAGCCGCAAACCAACGCGGTCATCTGGCTCGAGTCCAAGAAGACCAAACTCCAGTGGTACGACTCGGTTTCGCCATCTTGATGGTTCTTCACGATATATGCTAGGCAATGTGCGATCGATGACTTCACCAAGCACACAGAGACCAACTACGCGCTTCCAAGCGCCGTCGTTCTGGGAGGCATCAAGGTACGATTGCCTCTTGCGTTCGCGTCCATATGCAATAGCCTACGTTTAGAACGGTCTCGCTGCCATCGACGGAGCCACAACAAACGGGACAGACGCTGCCTCGACGACGCACGCAAGCGCGATCGATCTCGATGCGACGAAGCGCGGCTTGGCACTGGCGCTTACGATAAAGCTCTCGCCCGAGTGGACGATGGGCTTTAGCTTTGAGATGACGCCGATCAAGGTCGAAGTCGTCGACATCTTGGAAGCTCGCATCCGGGACCTCGAAGAAGCCAAAGCTCCATCGCGCATGGAGTTTTGCACATTGACGGCGCCAACAATCGTCGGTACGAAAAGTGCGTGCACCTGGTCGGCGCCGACAGCATCGACGCTTCTCCGCGTTGACGGAGACTCGGAAGTCGTCGTGTTGCAGTCCGGTTTGCACCACGTTCACTGCAGCCTCGCGTTGAACAGTGTTACATCGACCACGATCACCCTCAACATCAACAACGTTCCCATCAAGACAACCAGCTTCAGCAGCGATGCCACGTATCGGAGCAACACACTTGACCTGGTGCATGTGACGTACCTGGATGCTGGTGCGCGCATTACGCTTTGCGCCAACGTGAACCGAGGCAGCGCGAATGGGTCGATGACTATCATTCTGCTCGATCGCGGAACGGCGTAAGCAGTTGTGTCTTTTGGTAACGCGAAGAATTTTGTGCACGAAACTCAACACGCATGTTTGTGGCTGAGCAACCTACCCACATAGGGCCGAGGCGGAAGTGGGCGCTCTGTACAAAGTAAGATTCAATCACATGCAATGCATTCAATCAGAGTATTGTGTGTATGTTTCTATCGCGCCGTCGACAGGTCATGAAGCGTCGTCGCAGAGAAGTGCCTCGTGAACCACAAAGCGCCACGTCATCAAAATTCGAGTCTCCTTTCTGCAAATCCATAGAAACTATGATACCGATCCATGGCGCAGAAAGGGAGGGCGCGGTGCTGCGCGCGACGTAAAGTGACGACCTCCAACTGGCGGCGTTGGAAAGAAATACCAGTACATCAGAAGTTCGCAAGCTTCGCATTTGCTAGTACGCCGTCAAAGCATACTTGGATTCATCTTCAGCATGTCGCACGTTGCCCAGAAGAAGCTCACGCAGCTCTACGGTGAGTATAACCACGTGCAGTTCCCATTGACGAAAGATGAGCCTTACCGCGCAACGCTGAAGACTAACGCGGCTCAAACCTGCGCCACAATTTGGCTCGAGTCGAAGAAGACCAAGCTCCAATGGTAGAGCTCTACCATGTGCCTCGTTCTCTAAATCGCCACGCTTTCGTAGGGAGTGTGTGATTCAAGACTTGAGCAAGCTCATGACGACCGAGCTTGCACTGCCAAATGCTGTAGTCTTGCGCGCCATCAAGGTGAGATTGTGAGCACCACTGTCTTGGTAGCCGCATCCTTGTCTTAGGACGGACTTGCCGCCATCGATGGCCCAATACGCTGGAGGCCTCGGCCAAGCTCTCTTCCGCAAGCAAGGTCGACCTGACGATGGAGAAGGACATGCTGGCGCTCGATCTTGCGATTCACCTCTCGCCCGTATGGACGGCGACGTACCGCTTCGAGATGACACCCATCGAAGTCAAGCTCGTCGACATCTTGGAGGCTCGCATCCGCGACCTCGAGGAAGCCAACGCTCGACCGCGCGTTGCGTTCTGCACCTTGACGACGATTGCACAAACCGACGCGAACAACATCGACTCGTGTGTGTGCGAGTGGACAGTTTCGTCATCGCACGAGGCGGCAGCACTCGTTCGCATCGATGAGAACGACAAGAGCAGCATCGTTGTGCTGCAGCCTGGCTTGTACCACATCCACTGCACCTTGACAACTTTGACAGCTGTGACGGGCGAAATCACACTGTACGTTGACGAGGCTGACGTCGGGACGGCACCCTATACGTGCTACAAGCCGAACGAAGACGAAGCGAGTTGGTACTTTCAAGTCGACGTGTCGCACATTGCGCAGCTAGCCGCTGGTGCACACATTGGCCTTGACGGGGACTCGAACGATATTGCAATTCCTGGGTCTATGACGATTCGAAAGCTCCAACAAGGCGCCTTTTAGACACGTAGATGACAGAAGGGCGTGTTTATGTGTATCTGAAACCTTCGTAAATTCCATCACCCTCTTGATCAAGTGTTCTTGATTCTCAGTCGCAAAAATGTGGAACCGTCTAAGGCGCTGGTCTCCGAACGTCCACTTCGACTCGTGATGACTCGAATTCGACTGAAAAGTGCCCAAAACAAGCATAAACAGCACAAACCAATATGTTCCTCAACAGCTTTCTTGTTGCGTCTATGGTATCGTCAAATAACAGACACTTTTACAGCGTTCGCACAAACATTCATTGATATTGTCATTCGAATGACATCAAAACAAGTACTCCAAAGAAAGGGCTTAGTACGTGTCACCGCGGCACTTGAAGAACTGCTCGTTGATGTTGCCAAACGCTTGCAGCGCAATCGTCGCTTGGCCACTCAGGAGCGCGTGGAGCGACGCCAACTGGTCCGATAGCGCCGAGATGCCCCACTCGAGCTTGAAGGACGCCGAGAGGTCGACGGCGCCGCCTGCGACGCAGTTGTGGTAGTAGAGCACGAGCACCTTTTCGATCTCGACATCGCAGTCGAGCGACGAGAGGCCCTGGAGCGTGCACTGCGCCGCGAGGGCCGCGCGCCACTTGAAGTAGACGTCCGTGGCCTTGTTGGGCGTCGCAGTGATCTCGGTGATGTTGGACTCGGAGTGCACGACCGCGCACGGCGTCTCGGCGAGCACCTGGAGCGGCCCCGTAAACTCGTACTCGTAGCTGTTGTCGCCGAGGTCGGTCGTGTCGGCGAGCTGGTACATCTTGTTGGGAATGTCCTTGAAGAACGGCGCGGTGATCTGGGCTGGCGACCGCACGTCGACGACCGAGAGACCGTTGGTGATCGCGTTCATCTTGACGTTGGAGGTCGAGGTGAGGGGGAAGATGCCGCCGATCTTGCAGCCTTCAAAGACGAGCGGGTTGGTCTGCTTGGCGGCGTCGTCGAGCTCGAGCGGGCGCACGCGGCAGTTGTAGTACATGGTGTGGAGCGCGTCGATGGTGGCGTGCAGCGCAAAGAAGAGCGGGTCCGAGGGACCGACCCACGGGTTGGCGAGCGCGCCGAGCAAGTGAAAGTGCATAAAGAGACTCGGACCCCACTCGAGGCGGCGGTTGAGGTCGCCAAAGCTCGCGCTCTTGAAGAGGATGCGGCGCAGGTTCGTCGGCGTCACCGAGCACGGGAAGCGCGTCAGGTGGTACGGACCCCGGGGCACGCAGCGCGAGCACAAGATCGAGCTCGGGTTTTGCCACTGGCAATAGTGGTTGAGCGGCGCGGCCTTGTCGCAGCGACCGGGCACCGGGAACCCGTTGATGAGCGAGACGTGCGGCCAGATCGACGGCGTCGCGCTCCCGAGCTCGTTGACGATCGACGAGCAGCTCGCAATGTCCTTGCACTCGCCTGCGAGCGACTTGACGTTGTCGTTGACAAAGTCGTAGTACGGCAGCGTGAGGCACGCAAACTCGGGTTTGAGCGACCGCAGCATGTTTTCAAAGCCGAGGAGGTACTGCCGGTGCCAGAAGAGGAACCCGCACGTGTTGTGCGACGACGCGTGCGAGAGGATCTCGCGGTGCATCGACACGAAGCGCTCGTAGAGACCCTTGTCCATGGCGAGAGCGACCGCGCTCTTGAAGGTCGCCTTCTCGTCCGCGTCGAGGGCGTCCCACGACTTGCGCACGCGGGTGCCGCAGCAGCCGTACGCCTTGCCGCACTTGGCGCCAGCAATGGAGGACGTTGCGTTGGACGAAGCCTCGAGCGCCGAGACGCCGAGGATGCAGAGGATGGCTGCGAGGATGAGGGCGCGAATGGACAGCATGGTGTACACTGGTGGAGTGGGTTGACTCGGAGTCGAGTAAATTGGTTAATGAGGCGATCAAGAACCGAGGTGGGGACTTTGTTCGACGCTTTGCATTGCTGTGTGGACTCGGTCGTGTGATGTTAGCACGTTGTAATGTGATCACGACATCTGTTCGGGATGGGTGGTTTTGTCGCATGTTGCCGAGATTGTGCGGTGCCGGGAGAACGACAGCGCCGGGTTGTGAGAGTGGGATATAGGCTGCATAGACCCAACGCGACCAGGCACGAAAGGCTCCAAAGCTGGTCGCACACGGCCGCGCGGATGGGGCGAGACAGCTGGCTTTCTGATGACGTGTAAAGATCGGGATCACATTGCGACGGCCGGATGGTCAGGTGTGTGCTGAGTGCCACATACTTGTAGTACAGTAGTGCCAGTTTGCACTGTATTTTCTTATACAGCGCTTGAAACAAGAGTATGCGGCATGTAGGGTACTACCGAAGCAGGGTCGTCGGATCGTGGTGTCGTGCTCTGTATGGCAAGGCCGATGAGAAATGGTTGCCTTGCTCGAGTTGCAGCGCCGACGCGAACGCATCACGCGCGCCATTCAAGCCAACAGCAGTCAATGTACACTGGTGCTGGTGTTATCTAAGTAATGATATATGTGGACTGAGATCTTATTGGAAACCAATTGAACGTCATTGCGACGACGCTTCTAGGATGTAGTATGCAAGGATAACCACGATGCTGACCGATAAACGAATGAGGTTCCAATCGCACAGAGCTGTGGACCATGCTTTTAACGTATAAATTCTTGTAAATAACTAGCGAAAGCTCGCAATGTCAATTCATCTGACTAATAGGCAAGTATGGAGTTGCTGAAAAAATCAACAAGCTTTATGCGATTGATCACGCGATAATAAATTGCACGACAAAACTACTGAATGTCATTTTGCTTTGTCAAAAGACTTTTGTTCAAGCGATAACCAGATAGACGACATTCAATACACATTCTTCGCTTATTGTATGCGAGTAAACACAGACCCTTCAACACGGACAGTGCATGCTCGCTTCACATTGGAGTTTATGATGGGCGAGAGTCGCAATTGCAGTTTTCCTGGTACTCCTTACCATTAGCACTCGTAATTCTACCAAGCTTCATTGTACCGGTACGAAAGCCACCAAGCACCAATTCGCGAGATGATTTAGCAGCGTCACGAGCCGGATCGAGATGGACGGTGAATGAAAGTTGGAGGCACAAACGGGCGACACCCGTTGGTCCCGGATCTGTGGTTCGCACGCTGCGCCTGTCGTGTTCCGTCAACAGTATCGTGCAATGCAACCGACCCCATGTGCCTGTTTGTACCCCTCTCGTTCGCAGAAAAACGCCGATCAGAATCAGATCAGATATCATGTGCAACTGTTTCACACACAAGAAACGCCAAGCTCCCACGGCCGTCCATTTCAACACAATCCCACACCACACAGATCTCATATACAATGTACACCCATTACGGGTATCAAGGCTCACCCATTCTTAGCGCAAACCCTGGCGCTGTAGTTATTCCGAACCCGGAGCTTGAGAACAACGCAACCCCGAAAGAGCTTCATTAACCAATTTACTCGACTCCGAGTCAACCCACTCCACCAGTGTACACCATGCTGTCCATTCGCGCCCTCATCCTCGCAGCCATCCTCTGCATCCTCGGCGTCTCGGCGCTCGAGGCTTCGTCCAACGCAACGTCCTCCATTGCTGGCGCCAAGTGCGGCAAGGCGTACGGCTGCTGCGGCACCCGCGTGCGCAAGTCGTGGGACGCCCTCGACGCGGACGAGAAGGCGACCTTCAAGAGCGCGGTCGCTCTCGCCATGGACAAGGGTCTCTACGAGCGCTTCGTGTCGATGCACCGCGAGATCCTCTCGCACGCGTCGTCGCACAACACGTGCGGGTTCCTCTTCTGGCACCGGCAGTACCTCCTCGGCTTTGAAAACATGCTGCGGTCGCTCAAACCCGAGTTTGCGTGCCTCACGCTGCCGTACTACGACTTTGTCAACGACAACGTCAAGTCGCTCGCAGGCGAGTGCAAGGACATTGCGAGCTGCTCGTCGATCGTCAACGAGCTCGGGAGCGCGACGCCGTCGATCTGGCCGCACGTCTCGCTCATCAACGGGTTCCCGGTGCCCGGTCGCTGCGACAAGGCCGCGCCGCTCAACCACTATTGCCAGTGGCAAAACCCGAGCTCGATCTTGTGCTCGCGCTGCGTGCCCCGGGGTCCGTACCACCTGACGCGCTTCCCGTGCTCGGTGACGCCGACGAACCTGCGCCGCATCCTCTTCAAGAGCGCGAGCTTTGGCGACCTCAACCGCCGCCTCGAGTGGGGTCC